TGAATCCCACCTGTCTCTTTGTTGGAATTCCCACAAATAAATTACCAATCTATTGTTTTTAGTTCATTAATGTTAGATTCTTTTCACGAAGCTCTTTTTATTATTATTATTATACTTTTTTTTATGGTAAATATAAGCACAAAAACTTAGTAGTTAATAAATATTTAAAATTTGTTATTGTTTATTTTATTTTTAAAAAAAATCACAAATTTTTGTCTAGAAATTTAAATGGTAAGATCGTCGTTATCACATGTTTTTAATTAAAAAACATATTAAAATAAAATCAATAAAGAAGCGATGTTATTATATTAAAAACCAAACAAAGTGAATATACTCCTTATCTTAAAATCGGATATTCATATTTCCTAATATTCAATTATTGTTAAAAAAAGACTTCAATTTAGTGATGATGAGAATTTGATAGAAAAAGAAACCAATAACATCAAATTATTAAATAAATAAATAAATGAGTGGTAAAAACAAGTTTCCATATTTACCCATTTGTTACCTCCAAAATTAATTGGTAAATATGATCATTTTTTTCCAACTCAATAAAAGATTAATATCCTTTTAAAAAAATAGTTATTGTGTGAAGATGACAATTTTATGAATAATAATTAAAAAAAAAAACATGATTACGAAGCTATGTCCAATTTAATTTAATCTATTTAGTAGATTAAGGATTCGAATTCTATCTTTGATTTCATTTATTTTTTTCATTTATTTTCTTCATATATATGTAAATATATTTTAAAATGGAAATGATTAAAGAAGGTATAAGGTGAAGTTTGAATATTAAATGAGTTATTGACCAAAAGCATGTGATGTTTCCATTTTCCACATTTTTTCATGATTGTTGTTATTTATAATAATATATGATTGGAATTTAAACGGCCTTCTATGATTTAAAATATTTTAATATAATATTTTTTTCTTTCACAGCATAACCATCCATCTCTCTCTCTCTTCAAATTTAGCCTTAGTTTCATATTTGTAGAAATGTATACGTTTTATTTGTTTGGTTTTTTATATTCTGAAAAATAATTTTAAATTACATAAAATAACTTTACGCTGAGAAAAGGGAGCTCGCCAACTGGTTCATTAATAAAAAACGATTGTGGCTCGTACTTTACCCAACTCACGCGGGTCGCCTTTGGGCTAATGACTAGCCTTGGGGTCGCTCATTTTTTGTTGACCCATGGAGTTTAGCTTCCTCCTCTTTAGATCAATCCCACGTAGGTGAAACTTCTTTTAGGTTATTTCTCCGTGAACGTATGTATGTATGTTTGAAAAAAAGAAAATAGTTAAGAACAAATTGATGTAAAATAAAAATAAATTATAACATTTTTGGAGGCTTAGATTACGATGGAAGGGTATGTTCCCAAGATAACCTCTAACTTGTTGGGAGATTGGTGAGATTCGAAAATTTCCACCAAATAAAAAAGTAACTAAAAAGGACACTTTCTACGCGCGGCACATGTGGCGCGTGGGGGAAGGAGCCAAATTCAGTGCCGTAGATCCCACCAACGTGGGTTCATTGAGTACTTGATTTAGGGAATCACAAGTCAATCCACGCGCATAAGATTCGCGCTTGTATGCACCTCCTACCTTAAGTGCTTCCCACGTATACGCTTGACATGCGGGTTACGGAACAGTGAAAACCAACCAATTAAGAGGCTGACACGTCTCCCATAAAATCCAGGCCATTCGTCTGTCACCGTCGAAGAAAGACCACGTTCTCCTCAGCGAGTCCCGTTAAAATTTATATTGGTTTAAGAATTAAAATTAAAATTAAAATAATCCATTTTTATAAACTCTAAATTTATCTGAAGCGTATTCGAACCCAGAAATTAAAAATTCACAACTCATTATTAAATACCTTGAAAATTCATAATGAAATAGATAAATTGTAATTTAAATTCTATATTTTTTTTGCGTGAAAAAATAATTAATCTTATTTGGATTATTAATTTTCGTATACGATGAAGATTTGAATATCTGTTCATGCGGGGGCACTGTTGGAATTTAAGAAAAGTGTAGAGGGGCTAGATTGAAATTTACATAATCAATAGGACCAAATAGAAATCTGAAGTGTAATTTAAACCTTTTTTAAAAAATTATTTTTTTTTTTATTTACAGTTCCAAGGGGGAAAGAGAGAGGACTTCTTCCTCTTCTTCTTCTTCTTCTTCTTCTTCGCTGTATTTCTCTTCNGTCTGACTTCACAGTCTTTCGCCTCTCCTTCTTCTCCATCACAATGAATCTTACACTCCCCTGAACCACCCAACCCTTCCTTCATTTTTCTAACAATCATGCCATCTCTCTCTGCCGCCCCACCGCCGCTCACCGTCAGCCACCGCCACCACCACCACCACCACCGCCCAAGCCGTCTTTTCATCATTCTAGCCACATCCATAACCGCATCGCTTATCATTCTCCTCTTGACCATTTTCCTTCTCTACCGCAAACTCTCCCGCAACAGAACCGCTCCTTCAGAAACCCACCAAGAAAATCCCCAAAAACTCCCCCGCCGTTTCTCCTACTCCCTCCTCCGCCGCGCTACGGCAGCGTTTTCCCTCTCCAACCGCCTCGGCCACGGTGGTTTCGGATCCGTATACAAGGCCGTCCTCCCCTCCGGCCTCTCCGTTGCCGTCAAAATCATGGACTCCCCCGGTTCTCTTCAGGGCGAGCGCGAGTTTGACAATGAGCTCTCGATCGCCTCTGTACTTAACAACCCTAACATTGTCTCCCTTCTCGGCTACTCTTCCGACCGGCGCCGCAGAAGACTGATTCTAGTTTACGAGCTTATGCCCAATCGGAGCCTTCAGGATGCCCTGTTCGATCGAAAGTGCCCCGAGCTTATGCCATGGCGTAAGAGGTTCGAAATTTCTCTTAGCGTTGCTTCTGCTTTGCAATATCTTCACCATATTTGTAACCCCCCTGTAATTCATGGCGATATTAAACCTAGTAATATTCTGCTAAACGCCGATTTCGAGGCTAAAATTGGGGATTTCGGCCTCGCAAGGCTGAAATCGGAGGAGGAAGATGGCGATGATGGTGGTAGAGGTAGAGAGATTACCGGAGATAATGGGTCGATTTTGGAGGAAAACGAGAGTGTTCTGATTTCTGAGTTTGAGGAGAATGTTGGTATGGATCGTTTGCCTGATAGCTGTGTGGTTACTGTTCTTGATTCGCCGGAGATGGTGGTGACACCAGCTACCGATAAAGTGAGTTTATCAGAAGGGAATTTTGATAGGATTAGTGTTGAGGGTGGGATGGAGAGGAAGAAGGGTGGGTCTGGAAGGGATTGGTGGTGGAAACAGGAAACTAGTGCCATTGATGGTTCAGAATCTGGCAGAGTTAAGGATTATGTGATGGAATGGATTGGAAATGAGATCAGTAAAGACAGACCCAAGAATGAATGGGTTGAATCTAAAAGCTCCATTGCTTCTTCAAGTGGTAAAATGGAGCAGAAGAAGCAGAAGAGGAGACTGGAATGGTGGGCTTCTTTGGATGAAGGGCGAATGAGGAAGCGAGAGAAGAACAGGAAGAAGCCAAGGGAGTGGTGGAAGGAGGAGTTCTGCGAGGAACTTGTGAGGAAGAAGAAGAAGAAGAAGAACAGCAACAAAGAGCTCAGCTCAAGTAGTTGCAGAGATTTATGGTGGCAGCGAGATGAAGATTCAATCAATGAGAGGAAGACGAAGAAGAAGAAGAGTGGCATTGATTGGTGGTTGGATGGATTGAGTGGCGATCTTAGAAATGGAAGAAGAAATAGCCTAGATGAAATACCAAAGAGTGGTGGAATCAGTAGCACTCCTAGTATGAGAGGAACTGTTTGTTATATCGCCCCCGAATACGGTGGGGGAGGGCAGATATCCGAGAAATGTGATGTCTATAGCTTTGGTGTTTTGCTACTCGTTCTAGTTTCGGGGCGGCGACCACTACAGGTTATGGCGTCTCCAATATCAGAATTCGAGAGGGCTAATCTGATCTCGTGGGCTCGACAACTCGCGCGCAATGGGAAACTGTTGGATCTCGTGGATCCATCCATTCATTCGTTGGATAAGGAACAGGCATTGGTTTGCATTACAACTGCACTACTATGTTTGCAGAGATCACCATCGAAACGGCCTAGCATGAAGGAGATTGTGGCAGTTCTTGCAGGGGAGGCGGAGCCACCCCATTTACCGTTCGAGTTTTCTCCGTCGCCGCCGTCGAACATGCTGTTCAAGTCTCAGAGGAAGGGCGGGCAACTATGAGCTGGGTTATATTTTGATTTTGATTGAGTGTAAACTTTGTGGAAATGGGTGTTTTGGTTCCGTTGGTGTTGATCAGAAATGGATTGATGAAGTAATGGTTTCGGCAGAAGATCCCCTCAAGTTGGTGAAGTTTTAGGAAAAGAGGAAGTGGGATTATTAAAAAGAAAGCGAAGAGAATAGCATGACCAAAAAGGGCAAAGCTTTTCCTTAATCCACAAACTTCATAACTGCCCTCACACCCTCAAATCATCCCATCACTGACTTTCACCTCATAAAGCTCTCTAAAACGCCAAACCTTTTACTTTTCAAGTTGACATTTTTTTCCCTTTTCTTTTCTTTGTTTCTGTGCTTAACTAGCATCAGTTTCAGTACGTCCTTTTTCCTGCCAAAAGCGAAGGGGGAAGGTCCATTGCGTTAGCATGTCCGGTTGGGTTGGGTTGCCATTTTAACCTAAAAATACACCAACCACACGTAACAAATCTTATAAACTATTTCAAAATAATTTGCATGTAATTCTTTATTAAAAAATATGTATATAAATAAATAAATATAATGTTTAAATTTTACAACAAATTGAGCATAAACTTAATTTAAAAATCGTCGTGCGGGGTAGAAAATCAAATTCTTACCTCCATATCTTATGGGACAATTACCACTAGGGATTAAATCTATTTTTAATTGTAATTAAAAAAAAAAGGTTAAATTGAGTTTTTTTTTTTTTTTTTTTTTTTAAAGAAGGCCAGTTAATTTATTTTTCCTTTTGTTTTGGGATTAATAAATCAAATAATAAATTCCTTAACGAGACTCATGACCGCAGCAGCCCGTCGATGGTCAATGAGGTCAACGTTATGAAATCCCATGTCATCAAACCATGCCAGCACCTGGGCTCCACATCCGGTCAACATCTTCACGAAATCCTGCTGTCGGTCAACCATTGGATCTCCGCCGAACCCGATCACCAGGCACCGTCCCAGCTCTCCGATCAACTCCTTGTGAGGCCCCCCCACCATTGGATTGCAGTAGCGATGATCCTGATCCATCCCCTTGGGCAGCGCGAGTTCCCACATGAGATCCAGCACCGGCAGTGGCAACAATTGGTCGGTCGCAAATCGGAGCTCCGAATTAGTCCTCTGAACTCCTCCGAACATGGGCTGGTTCATGACGATTCCGGCGACCTTCAAAGGGTCGAGATGAGAGGCCGCGGCCACGGCCTTGAGTCCAGCGAAGAAGGCAATGTTGCCGCCGCAGCCGACGCCGTAAAGGTAACACCGGGAGAAGTCGCCAAAATCCTTGAGCCATTGGTCGCCGTGGGGATCCGTCATTTGGGTTTTGACCCAGAGGAGAGCGTCGGCGGCGTCGTCATACTGAGCCGGGAGGCGGCTCTCGGGGGCGAGACGGTAGTTGACAGAGATGGCAATGGCGGGGATTTGAGCGACAAGGTCGGCGCAGTTGCGGTGAGTAATGAGGTCGGAAGCGGTGTGGAGGATCCAGCCGCCGTGGTGAAAGTAAATGAGGATGGGGAGACGGGCGACGACGCCGTCATTGGCGGGGATGTTGGTGGGGCGGAAGAGGCGGAGGGAGGTGGAGGAGGAGGGGTTGAGGGGGAGGTCTTTGAAGGAAACGGGGTCGGCAGGGGCAGGGGAGGAGAAGGCGGGGAGGTGGAGGAGGCGGGAGAGGGAGCCGTCGGGGTTGAGGGAGATGCTGAGGTGGTGGTAAGGGTTGAACTTGGACATGGTTTGAGAGCGGCGCATGGTGGTGGGAATGGGGAAAATGGGGGAGGAGGTTTCAGAGAGATACATTGTGGAGATGTAGGATTTGGATGTGAATGAATGAATGAATGAATGAATGAATGTGAATGAAAGGAAGGCGGAAGTAGTAGAAGAAGATGATGAAAAATTAGGGTGGAAGGAGGAGAGGAAAGGACGGGAGTGTGAGGAAGTTTTGGCCATCCAAATTACGACGACTACATTAAGTCATAGAGAGAGATCAATGAGAAATGAAGATATTGAATTTGAACCATCCAAAAACTACACACAATTTCTTCCTTCTGCTCATTATGGAGACACGTACGATAACATGCCCGATAAAACAAACAGCAGCTAATTTTGGTCACTAACAATTTTTAGAAGAAGGCAATAACCCATTACAAGAGTGACGTTAACTGGAAAAATATAACACAGTGTGAAAAAATTAGTCTCTGCAATTACCACAACATCCAAAAGGCCCCTTTTGAACTGCAAAATCAACAACGCACACATTTTCTGTACTCAATTTTCAGATGATAGATTCAGTACTCCTTGTTCCCAAAATTCTTGCACCAGAGCTGTGAGGGAATTGGCCGAACAGGATTGTGCGGCCGTTGCTGCATGGGAAAAGAGATGACGAGGTTACTTTGCTGATGGTATACTTAACAGCATCTGGTTCTAATTTGAATGAATGATAAGGTCTATTTAATCTTGGTGCACGCTCTCAATCAGGAATATATATAGAGGGAGGGGAGCTTCCCGACTTAAATGAAAGAAAGCACTAAAACTTCGGAATCATGTGACGAAAACAAAATAAATGCCTACCCATAAAAAAACCTTACCTCAATCAAAACACATCCATAAAATAATAATAATAATAATAATAATAATAAAGATCCAAACAATAAATAAATATCCGATGGCAAGAAATCGAGACAAATATTTCGAGAATCTATGAATCAAGACATCCAAAATGAAAGGCCTTCCGCATCATTAACCGGAAGGCTCTTCCTTTGTAGTTCTTTCTTTGAGCCTATCCTTTTTACTATACTTCTCATTTTCAAAATTCGTTCGAACACTATGGAAGGCTAAGCAAGTAGTCAGACATAAAGTGCAGCAGTTGCCTAAATAAGGACATGACAAAACCTAGAATTCATACCAATCTTGAGCATCAGCTTTAATAAAAGATGACATGTTGGCAATTACTCGCCTCACTTTTTAAGGATTTATATGTTCGTTATTCTCAATGAACACCAATATGGAATATTCTGTCTTGCCATGATGAAACTTTCAACAACAGAATAGAAAAGATATAAACCAATAATTTTATCCTTTGTAAAACAAATATTTTTAAAAATAAATAACTTTGAGTTCGTTTCTCAATCAATAAAGCAACTTGATCCAAACAAGTGCAACATATTTGAACCAGATCCAATACAAACAAATTTATAACTCAACCCAACTAATTTAAAGGTTAAACGGATGACAATATGTTTATTTAACCACCCACCTTAACATCCCTGGTATGAGGCACAAACACTCAGTGTTAGGTGGAGTGTCTGTGTCAGTCATGTGCTAGATATCCCGGTCGTACATCTTCAACCATGCACCGTTATGATCTTGATATGCTTATGACAAGTCTTGAGGGGAACCCAGCTCTATATTCATTTTTCTCCCGTTTTTGTGGCTTCGTTGGATCTTAGGCAAGGTTTGTATTTGCCAACCTAACACAACTTGTGTGAAATCCAAGCTCGTTCGGCCACACACACCGCCTGTGGGTACATGTTCAATCATCTGCGACTTAACCGACTTGCCTCTACATTAGGCCCAGTCATCTGGCTCGACCTTGCCACTACTTGGGGTCAAGGTCTCTCAATGCAACATTGCATCTCAACTTGTCATCTGAGTTCCCAATTAACACAACCTTTCATGTCATGATGTCATCGGCCATCACAGCTTGCTCGGTCATGTCCATCGAGAATGGGCCTATATGTTGTTCATAACATCGGGTCATCCCAGACATCCATCCATTTGGGTTTTGGACCCTCTCATGTCCATGCCATATCGTTTATGGACTTCGTTACGGATAGCGGGTGCATATATCAACCTCCAACACAAGGGCTGGTGTAATGTTGGCATACCTGTGTCGTCTGATATTGTCCTTGAAAGACCCATTGCATGTGCCACAAGGTAGCTCACTTAGGCCACAAGGCCAAGTGGTGGTAGAGAGCTAAAACCATGTCTCCCTCTATAGTACATTTTGAGGCAGTTCAAATCTTTATAGAGTAGACGTCATTTGGGTGAGCGGTCATACGGCCTTGTGGAGCGTCTATCGGATATCCAATTGACACAAAATTTAGTGAGCTTTCATCTTTCATATAGACAAACTTAACTCCAGAGTCGCATGCTAAAACTCATATTGAAATCCCAACTAGGCTAGGGGCCCTATCCAGCCCTCTCCAAGATTATTTGCATCTCAGCTTGACTTTAATGCACACTCTTGATGTGTTGGATGATGCACCGTCTTCCTCAGTCGCATCATGACACTTGTCTGTCTTAGCTCTCACGTGGCTAGATGGGCGCCACTTAGGGGTCGCCACCATGTTTGTCCACGTGTGGGGGGTCACAACCTACTATCTTCATAGTGAGGTTGTGAATTAGACACACATATGTCTGACAAGCCAAAGTACGCCAAAGTACATGCCCAATATTCTGTTTTTTTTTTCTTTTTTAAATTCAGACGTGCGGGGAGATGCGCAGTATGTGAGCATCGTAACTTTTCAACCATGCAACATCATGTTTTTAACCCAAACATTGCTAGTCTTAAGGCCAACTCTAGCACATAACATCCTTTTTCTCGAGTCTTTTTGCTCTATCGAACCTTAGACAAGGTTCTTTTGAACAATCGTTAGAACACATCACCACATGAGCATCCTCTCATTCAACGATGACATCATCTCGACCTGTTTGCAACTTGGCTTTCTCTCACCAACGTACGCTGCTTTCTCGTACATTTCAATGCTTTCACTTCTCTTAACAAACTTTCTTTGCCTCGATCTTGCCTCTAATCTAGGGCAAAGTTCTTTCAAAGCATCATCACAATTTTTCTTACATCTTAGTTCTCGGCCACTTGGTCGTCCACTTCTACACCAAGTCAAGACTTTGTCAGGATGAGTCTCAAGGTCCTTTCGAAGCATCATCACATCTTTTCTTACATCTGAGTTCTCGGCCACTTGGTCATCCACTTCTACACCAAGTCAAGACTTTGTCAGGATGAGTCTCAAGGTCCTTCCAAAGCATCATCACATCTTTTCTTACATCTTAGTTCTCGGCCACTTGGTCGTCCACTTCTACACCAAGTCAAGACTTTGTCAGGATGAGCTTTGACATTTCACGGAGTCAAAACTAACTAATAAAGTTCACTTGAAGCTTCCTACCACTCAATAGACCAAATAAGTTTCACTACTTACCAGGTCAACACTAGCTTCCAAAAGCTCACTGGGTGCTCACCCAAACTTTAAGACGCCATCCCAAATCTTAAAATGGCATTAAGTTTCATTATGCATTCGGGCACGTTTACGAGAATTGACTCTCAAGTCCTTCGTACTTACCAAATCTTACCAGACATCCATCCATTATCAAAGCATGATGACACTTGCGACCATGTCATATCAATCGAGCATAGCATACAAAAACCCCATCCCTCCAACCCTTGGGATAGGGTGCACTTTTGACACAACCATGCCACCCAACACAATCACTAAGTTGCTCGTTCTCAAAGGAAGTCACCCAAGGCACTTGTGGCATAAGACTTGCCTATGCCATGACACATACATATGCCGCGTGGTAGCTCACTTGGGCATCCAAGCCTAGGGGTGGTGGAGAGACATCACACTCATAAATTATAAGGCATTTTTTATCTATCACCCATGGAGATCAAAATAGAAAAGGATCACTTGTCATCGTGGAGTGCCCATTTTAACTCCAACGAACAAAAAATTTGACAGGCTTGCATATCCCATTTATACACACTTAACTCCACAGTCGCTCGTCCAACCTCACGATAGAACCTTGACTTTTAGGGAACCCTTCTAGTCCCCTATAAGCTTGTCTTTGACACTTTTAATGCCACCGTTGTTTCTAACTCACTTAGAAAAGAAGCTAGCTTATACAGACTTATTTTTTCTTTTTTATTCCATTTTCATTTTTTGTGAGCTTTTATCCCCCCAATTTTTTTTTTTTTTTTTTTTTTTTTTTTTTTAAAAAAACTACAATTGCAAATTAGGTTGGTCAGTGTGGTAGGAGCTCAAAAGTGGGCTGCTAAAGGAGCTACTTCCAAGCTTCCAACTATTAGTGTAGTGACTTTCAGGGAAGGAAATGAATGATACTTGAGATCAGCTTTAGAGGCAATATCCTTATCTAAATAGAATATCCAAGTATTGGGCTCAATGCAAAAGGTCAACAGAGTATGTAGCTGACTTGGTTCCAAAGCATCCAGCCTCTTGAAAAAATTGGTGGATCAATTGGTGCAACCAAGAAAGTTATTTCAATGTTGGCAATTTCATGAGATTATGGAAGGGTAGATTGATGATAGAATAACTTTTGGGAATAGAGATGAAGGCATGGACAATATGTTTGAAAAAAAAAATCATTTCTCGTTTGATATAATGAAAATGCTTAAAAGTTCAAGGATATAAATTCCCAAAGAGAGTGAAAGAGAAATTAAAAACACCATGTAGAGAACAACTATGATCACGAACTTTTTATAAACCTAACAAAATACATCACCATAAAAAATGGCTTTGTTATTGACTTTAGATATCATTGTGAGAAAATTAAGAAAATTGAGGAGGGCATTCTAAATCTGCTTTCAAATCTACCGCTATGGCTTTTACTTTGTACTTCTCAGAAAGGGCGGAGTAAGCATCATTGAGCTCTTGTTTGATTGGAGAAGAATCTCTAACTTCTTTCTGAAAAACTATTCTACTTTGCATAGAACCATTTCAAGATGAATCCAAACTGAAAGTTTATCTAGAATTTGACTCCATAAAAGAAGCTTCAATAGGCAAAAACACAAAGGAATGCACCACAACACAATTTGAGGAGAAAGTACGCAGCCCCTTGAACCTCTATGAAATTAGTGCAAAAATAGTAACTCTTGAACGAAGACAACCAAAAGTCTTCTTGGAAAGGAAAACACCTTAAAAACTTTGAAGTTTATGTTTCCCTATTCTATAAAAGAAGGAACTTCTCGTAACTGAAGATCACACGTCTCGTGGACAATATTTTAGAGACCATTTACATCGAACATCATATTTATCCCAAAACCAATGATCTTCCTTGACTCCACCACAATCATGCAATATCATATGATGCAAAATACTGATTAGACCCATCCAGAACAAAAGTATGCTGAACTCTTAAGCATTCAATAGTCCGTTTAACAAAGGGTAAGACGAGAAATGCATGTTTCTCTAGCAAAATTGGTTCCTTTCGACATAAGAGAACAAGATTCGACCTAAATAAACCATGCCCCATATTTGTAGTTAGACCTTTCCCTTTTTAGTCAAGGTGGAATTGATGTGAATTCAAGCTCAATTTTCCGTACACCAACAAGTCTGTCTAGAGGGGGGGAAATAGAATGAATCCACATTTCATCCCGCCAAAAACGATAATTAAAATACATAAAGATCCATAAGTTGAATAGCTTTCATCGTTAAAGAAAACAAAAAAGAAAAAACAAGGAATAGATAGACAAAAGTGGGGATATAAGAACCTCAAGCTCTGCAGATTTCATAGCAACAGGAATGCAGACGAGAACGATGCCAGCCATGGCAATGGCGGTATTGCGTTTCCAATGCTTGGGCCGGCAATAAGGTCCTCCGCTCATGCTCCAAACCTTAGCCCTAAAGTCACCATGGGCTTCTCCATGTTCACCTCCTCCCATGGTTTCACTGCTCTCTGAAACTGGAGATCAGAATGGCGATCAAAACCAAAATCATAGTAAACGAATTAGCAATGAACTAAGATCCATATACGCACGAAAACAAATTAGAAATCAGCTCGGAGAAATGGATCGGGAAGAGATGGATTTCGTCGATGCTCAGTACCTGAAATTGGGGGATTTTGATCGCCAGCGAACGAGGAAGATATTGTGTATACTGAAGGCCGTGTTTTCGGGAACTCTATCGGCAAAACGTGTGTGAGCGAGGAGATTTTGGTCCATTTTGCAGTTGAACCGGACGGCCTAATAAATATACATGTACACTGTGAACAAATCAACTTAACCTCAATTTCTTCAACTTGCGGATGTTATAATTTCGAGCATAAATTTCCATACCCAAAAAATAATAAATAAGAAAATAAAAAAACTTATTTATTAATGACTAAATTAAAAGTTCAAAATAAAATGTTTATGGATATATTAGCTGATTTGACATAAATTTTTTAAAAAGATGAAGGTCAATTAATACTACTTGGTTCCTCTACTTTCATCTTTGAATCATTTTACTTTCATCTTTGAATCATTTTAGTCCTTGCAGTTTCAAAAAATGCTATTTTGATTCCTTTACTCTTATGATTTAGTCATTTATCATTTTCAATCAACCATGGTTACTGTCTTTCAACTCCGGTTCTGCAAGTGTCAATCTGAACGACGCAGGAGATATGGCAAGTTTCTGAATCAGCTTGATAGAACTCCTTCGATCATGATCTCTATATTCATGAGTAGTTAGCATATTACTTGTTTATCGTTGAGCTGTAATTAGTTAAAAAGAAATGAAGGCTCATTCTTTCACCAAAAAAATAAAAGCTTCAGTAAGCTTTTTTTTTCTATTTAAAGACTCGTCTGATGTTAAGCAAAACTGGAATTGAATATTATACATGCATACATACATACATACATACATACATACATACATACATCCAAGAAGCCTATATTCATCCAACAAAGTGTACATTCTCATACACTCTCAGAAACAACACCTCCCATGATGAAGCTGAGTGTTAACATTAGTACGAAGACGAGCCTCGTTGCAGCTTCCTTTGCCCTCTCTGCATGTTCACGCCGCCCTTCGATTCTCCATGTTACCAGCAGATGGTTTTGATGACAGTGGTGATGGATGATCTTCCGGGGGGTTGGTTTGGTCAAAGATCAACAATATCCAGAGCCCATATTCATGTTAATTTAACTTCGTGCATGTTCGGGTATGAGGTGATGACGCAATTCAGTCGATGCACCAGCAAGTTCTGCAGCCGATTTCGGTTCAGTACCCGCAAGAATAGTTGTGTTGAAGCAATGAAACATGATGACGAATTTGGTTTTACCTTGAGCTGTGAAATTGAACAATGGCGGTAGTGCTTGGCCGTTCGGTAAACATGCATTTGGATCTCTCAAATCGTCAAAGAAGGGGTGTGCACAAGCCTCCAACTGCGATAAAAAAGGCCACTTCATTGTCCTAATCCATCATGTAAGGGACTAACAATATTTGCAATTTCAAACAAACAAAGTCATTGTCAAATAAGTAATGATTCTTACCGCAGTGCAACGTAGGTTGGGCGAATACTGGAGCAACCTTGACACGAGATCTATGGCGTCTGCAGGCATTCTCATGTGAAATATCTGAATATTACAACTTCAATGAGAATTCCACCCTCATGACAAAAAATAAAAGATCCATAACTATATAATTTTGCACGAAAATGCAAGAGACCTTGTGCCACGGGTGTGCTTTAATCTGAGGAAATTTGAATTCGGTGTAATTTGGGTTCATGCACTTGATTTCCTCTCTGGTTGGTGTTCCCAATATCTAATTCACGTGGTAGGGAAAAAAAGTAAAAATCAGATAAGTGACTTTGTTTCGATGTTGAAATAAGTCAACAAAGGTCGATCATACCTTGATGATCTCTACCAATTGATCAACACCACTTTCACCAGGAAAAAGAGGCTGCAAACAATTTACATGTCCATCACACATCAGAAAGACCATGAAAATAGATTGTTGATGTACATATAACGAAACGATTATGAAATCACAACACAGTTGTAATCTGAACAGACAATGCCCTACAACTTCAAGACAGACACTAAAGTAAAGACCTACCTGTCCTAAAAGAAGCTCAGCCATTACACAACCAACCGACCACATATCTATGGCATTGGTGTACTCTGTTGCCCCAAATATGAGTTCGGGGGCCCTATAATACCGTGAACAAATATAAGATATGTTAGGCTCTCCTGGCATCTGAAATTGAAAATTAAATTGCATCAGATCATAAATTAATAAATTTCCTCAGATAAGAATCAAATCCAAATTCAGGTATATTCATACCAACATCTTTGCGCTCCCAAAATCACATATCTTTAGTTGATGAGTGTGAGGATTAACCTGCAGAATGAGCAGAATAAAATGAGCTGCAGGTAAAAGATAACTACCCATCACTTCTACCTCAAACTAACTCTCAATTTAAGTAACCTCTTTACGGAAGAACTCAACATCATAATAAGCATAATTACTTGAAGTTCCTTATCATTTTAATATGTTTATACAAAGTGAGATTTGATAACTGTTAACATGGAAACATTGTTGAGGATTAAGGTTTTGGCAAGCCTTTGACAACTTGGCTGTAGCATATGCAGCATACGTGTGCAGGTAGGTAGTGTCATCCTCAATTAGATCTCTTGTATAATGTGTTTCACAATACCACTTACTTGAACATTTTTCAAAAAGGCGGTGGATATAGTTTTTACAAACCAAGAATTTTCAAGGCTGGATCACATCTTTGGAGCTCTTAGTTCGCCTTGGCTTGTAGAAGATATTGATGAATTATGATGGAGGTTCTATCTCATTTGCCTTTTGATGTATCTTCGAGAGAGTGACAATTTTAGCTTGGAGAGTCTCTTGCTAGTTTTCAATGCCTTGGGTGGATGAAAATTTTGGAGTTCTATAATATTTTCCATTAGGCCCTATTCTTTCAGATTTAAGCCATGTCTATATAGTTATTTCGGATTCAGTTTAGCTCCTTTCGTTAGGCTATCTTCAGTTTTCTCTAGGTTTCTCTTATATATTATTTCATTCTTCTTTTTTTTTTTTTTTCTCAATGAAAGCATGGTTTTTCAATGAGGAAAAAAAACAAAAACAAACAATCAAGCGATGAAGAAAACTAAGCAAAAGGAATTGTTGGATGGTGGAAAAAGGGAAAATGTCCTACCAGTAGATTCTGAGGCTTAATATCACGGTGACATACTCCTACGACCTGATGCAAGTAATTTAGAGCCCGGCAAATCTGGAGAAGAGAGAACAGAAGTTACTGCATTTGTACGGAGGGTTGCAACAGTCAAATGTGGGAAGTTAAATACTACTCATGCCATCAAATCAACAGCTAACTGAGGGTTGACCTGATATGTATAAAGCTGCACATAAATAATAGGCATACTCCGGTGCGTCCTGATATAATGCTTAGAAACTTTGTAGACAGTTTTGGATATATACTCCAGGACAAGGTTGAGGTATAGCTCATCTTTATCAGTAGTGGAAAAGAAACAATGTTTTAGTTGCACGATGTTAGGATGGTTGAGTATGCGCATAGTCTGGAGTTCCCTGTTCTTGTATCTCTTATCCTGCAGCACCTTTTTTATTGCTACGGCTTCATTTGTTTCCAAACACTTCGCCTATAACAACGTACATGTAAATTTCAAAAGTTGCACCAACCTCCGGGTCCAAAAAAGAACCAGAACAGGCATGGCATAATCAAGTACCTGAAAGACAACACCAAAAGAACCAGTACCGACCACGCGCTCTGCCATATAGGAGATTGTCTGCAACAAAGTTACAATAGCAAAGAAAATTTTCAAACAACTCTAACCAATTACAAGAAATCGTAGACAATAGGATTTGATTGAAAACGTTACAATGAAGTATGTCATATCTTTCATTGTAACATAACAAGCAGATTTAAAATGTCACCTGTTTGGGGATTCCATTTCGACCACCAACTGTAGTTGCAATTATCTGGCCGGCTTCTGTCCCATTGCCATTCACGACATCAGGTTCAAAGTCCTAAAACGGAGGTATAGCAAACAGAATCTCAATACTTGTTTCTATTCAATGGCTTCAACAATTTAACCAGACCAGTCCAAGTCCATCACACACACTTTCAGCATGGTCTAGATATCGAAGTATACAAGATAGTCGCATTTCGACTGCTATAAGTTCAATATGTGAAGGTGAATCACAATGTACAGAGTGAAAATGGAATGACAAATATGGAAAATACAGAGAATTTTTTAAAACCAACAACAAAACAAGGAGCTATATTTGAACTTGAAAGTTATCTAAGAATAACCTTTTCATCATGGTTGGATTTCTCATCTCTAATTCTCATCTCACGCATTTCCCTTGGAAGATGATCAAAACCAGATTTCTCTGCTCCAGCTGTTGATGAAATGTTTGAAGTGCTCGCAGCATTATCCAAAGAAGTGCAAGCCAAATCCGGGTCTAAACCAGAGGCAACTCTTTCGACATCATCGGAAACCCCATCAACCTTCTGTTCAGTTTCTTGATCAACTTTTGCTCGCTTTATGCCAAAATCTCCACCCTTAAAAAAACACATTAAGAAGGAGACATTCTAAAAAAATGATGAAATCGAAGACATCTAACATCATAGCACTGAAAGTATATCAATTATGGTAAGAGAGAATGCATGATGTTCCACCACGTCATAGAATTTGAATATTAGTTTAGTTGTTCCCCAACGTGACCGAAAGCGAAAGCATTAAGAATTTGAACAAGCCGAATCGCTTTCAAAGCGGAAAAAACGACAAAATCAATTAGTTCAAAATTAGAACTCAATTTCGGTGGATCGGGCATTCCAAATTTGAACTCAATTTCCCAAAACGCAAAAGAATAAATAATTGAACATGAAAAATTATACTCACCGGGTCAGAAGAAATGGAAGTCCGACCAGAAGTAATGCTCTTAAGACGACGCATCATATTCATGGCGATTGTTGATTGGGTCGCGTCCTCTCACCTCCCAACAGAGAGATGAAACCCTAATTCGCCCGAAAAACGCCCCCTCGACGAAAAAGTCCCAAGGAAACACAGAATCATCCGCCCGAAAAACAGCCCCTCAACGAAGAGTTTTCTGCAATGGGCAGAGAAGAGAGAGGGAATTGAGGCAGCAGAAGAGAGAGAAACCCAGATCTCTCTCTCTCCTCCAGCTGCTAAAGAGAGAGCTGAAGACAAGAAGGGCAGAGAAAAAGGGAAGGGAAGGGAAGAAGGGAAATTAGGTTTAAAAGCTTGGAGAAGGCATTGTTCGAAGATTTAGATTTGGTCAAGGACGGATCAAAACCAATCATTGGATCCCGCTTCTTAACGTACGTCGGTCAAACCAGGATCCTCTGCCTCTCCTCTCCATGCCTTATTGCCCCTCCTTTTCCCAATTTGCCCCTCCTTTTCCCAATTTGCCCCTCCTTCCTTCTCCTTTTTACCAAATATGGCTTCTCCAACTCCACTATATATTTCAATATTACACTTTATAATAATATCTAAATTAAAATAACACACATTCAAATTTCTTTAACTCAAATAGAGCTAAGGATAGACATTAATATGATATTTTAGAGGGTAAGTCAGTAAAAATGTCCAAATATTTTCAAATGGGCCTAAATGTGTGGGCTGCCTAAATAAATGGGCTACAAACAATACATATAGGGTTGCTCCTTAAATGGGCTTGTTAGTAAAGGTCCTTTATACACATATATATATTTATATATATTGTTAAAATTGGGTATACCTAATAAACCATATTTCTTTTCTTTTTCTTTTTCTATTGTAATTTTTCAGAAACTTATTTATTTATTTATTTATTTTGAAAATATAATTACCATTGAGACCCATTAAATGGAAAATCCTAATTAATAGAAAAGTGTGTGTATGTGGGCATCCTATTATTGGTATATTTGTTTAGATAGAGCCTAAAAAATAAGACAAGATTGTAGAAAAATGAAACAATTATTAAAGTGGCTTCTCTCTTATTTGATACATTATAAGATATTTGAAGGGCTACCAAATTAATGCATAAACATTTGTGAGATGTCACACTCAAAATCAAAGAGAAAAAAAATGTAAAAGAGAAGATTGATATTGACCTCCTAACTCCCTTGAAACTGATGAAGGTTAAGTGATGGAAAATAATTGTAGTACAGAGGCTTCTTCTAAAAGATGGCCAAACAATTATCAACAAAATGTACTTAACCATGGTATCAACTTTCCACCGTCTATAGTCTATGTGGTCTAAGCGAGCTATCTTGTAGCACTGCATGGGCAAGTATTATGACACGAATGTCTCGAGCTACTTCTTTTGAAATGAGTTTTTCAAGAACAGTATCAGACAATGCGGGTGGGTCGACAATGTGTCTCATTCCATGTGTCCGAGGTTAGTATATGCACCTCCTATATTTGTATGGAGTCTATAAATGATTTAACATGGACGCGGGATGGTCCATGCCTTGATAGACACATGGGTTAGTTCTCGGTGAACATGACCGAGTAAGCTACGATGGCTTGTACAACCCGAGAGTTGGGATGACATCAAGATACGTGGGTCATGTTGATTTGGAACCAAGATGACAAGTTGAAATCCAACAACGACAAATATGAGAGACCTTGGCGTAGAATAGAGGTAAGGTCGAGTCGAGTGACTTGGCTCAGTGTATAGAAAAATCTGTATGTGGCCAAACAACCTTAAATTCTACATGAACTGTGAAGGTAAACCTCGCTTGTAAATAATGCTTACATTTTCCTTAAAACTTGTGAACATATCAATATCATAATAACAAAACCTTAATTTATTTAAATAATTAGAGGGACTGAAAACTTTTTTCTTTTCAACGTTAAGAATCAAACTACAAGCTTGTTAAGAATCTAGAGAGAGAGAGAGAGAGAGAGAGAAAACAACGTTATCAAGAAGATTCTCTCTGCATAATTTTTTAATAATCAATAAGATCAGTCAATTCGTTTTAAAATACAAATACATTTAAAAGAAATTAAGGAAAATTGATTAATGAACAAGGGGATCATAAATATAAAAAGCTGTCGGCATAGTCAACGAAGGAACCAAAAAAAAAAAAGGTTGAAAAGAATATTAAAAAGAATACAAATGAAAAAGGCCATAATACCGGGAGGCGTCGGCGGAGGGGAGGTCCGGTGGGAGCAGGTTGAAAAAGAGGGAGAGGGTATATGATTGAGGATGGCGGTGGAACCCAGCGCCTGTCACCGCCATGGGTGGGTGGTGGACGATGCCCTTCATTTCTGATTTAACCTTTCTCCCCCACTTTTCACCGTCTTCTATTTTTAAATTTGATCTCACCGTTGGTGAAGCAGGATAAAAAGTTTTTTTTTTTTACAGTATACAAACCAAACACTCCCATAATTCCTGCCCATATCCAACCCTGCGGTTCCGGAATCCCAGAGATTAGACCCCCGACCCCACAGTCTCCATCTAAATACCCTACTCAAAAAAAATAATAATAATAAAACGTCTCTCTCAAAAACGCCGTTCATCATTATCCCCGACTGTCACCTAATGTTCACCACGTGTATACCCCTAATTGGTCAGTTGAAACAAGCCGAAAAACTTGACATTAAATGTTACACTTTTCTCCCAACAGCTTCTGTCACATATTTATTACGTTGTCAGACAGATGTGACTTCGTAACTCCACCTGCATCGACGGCGCGTGACTCTACTCACCCCTAAAGCAATATTAAATCCTTCCCTAAATATTGCTCAACCTAGTTTATAATATTATAAATGAGTGAAATCTCGTCAACAAATTAATTTCAAACAAACACAGATCAGGAAAATTACAAATTCCATTAAATCAGAGGGAAAAAAAATTCAAATACATAATTAACAAAAACACCCTTTTTTTTTTTCTCTCTTCTTCACAAGAAAACTAGAGAGGGTAAACTTGAGTCAATACCCGAACCACAACCACAACCACCACCACCCTACTATATATATATATATATACATATATATATATATATATATATATATATATATTAGAAAGAAACCCTTTTTTCCTCTTTCCCGAGCCACCAACTGGGTGTCTAACACGGGCGGTTCGTTCTTGACTCAATACCCCCACCTCACCTCACCCACCTTAAAAGACTTCACACTAGCTCACATTTTCTTTCCTTCTCACATACGGTTCACAACCCTAGTATAGCAGTAATAATAATAAATAATAACAAACAAATTACTCAGGGAGGGGTAAATTAAGTAAAATAAGTTCTTTTTTTGGGTAAAAAAAAATATATAATTCCATCAGCACGTGGGGAGTCACGCGCGGATCGGGCATCAGGTTTCGCATTGAAGAGCGGCCTTGATCTTCTGGACGGTGCAAGAGATGAGATTGTTGACTGTTTCAACCGATTCCACGGTGAGCTTCGCTGTAGGGAGGCTATTCACCAGGATTTGAAATGCCACGGTGAGCAGGGACCCACCGCCTGTCCCTCTCTCACCCTGCCGCCCTCCCTCCCCGCCACTCGGACTCCTCCCACCTGTCACCGCGCCGTCAGCCACAATCGCAAACCCCGAAGGCAAAAGCGCCACGTACGCCGAATCGCCGCCATTCATCACTACGTGCATTGCCGGGATGTCCACCGGCGCGTAGACCACAAGGGAGCCGGCCGCGTCTATGCATGTCTCTTGTAGAATCAACATACTGCTCTGGTTCGCATTCATAGCCTGCTAGTACGGAAAGAAAGGACCCCTCAAACTTTGCATTAATTTACAACAAAAGTCAAAACCCAAAGGAAAAAAAGGTTACTTTTTCTTTTTGGCATTAAGAAGAAAGTTGAAAAGGTGGGGGAATGGATCAGAAGAAAGAAAAGAAAAGTGGGTCACAGAATTCAGAGGAGAAGTTGACAAGTTTTTTGTTTTTGCTTTTATGTTGACTTTTTTTCTCTTCCTTTTCCCCATCAGAAGCTGCAAAAGCAAACAAATGGGGCTCTGTAACTTTGCCTGCCGCCCCCACCCCCCACCCCCCACTCTAAAACATGTCCTCGTGGATACTTCCAATTCCCAAAGTCGACCCTCTGATCCCCACAAACGATACATCTCCAACTCAGGGGCACATGCGTTATGGAAAAAGGCATCGTTTGGATATCAAAATATTATAATAATAATAAGGATTCAGGTAGAGAGAGAAACCAAAACAACCCCTTCAAAAAAAAAAAAAGAGTTCTAGAGAGAAACAATACGCTGGCTCTTAATAGAGAGACGCAGTTGCCATGATCTTGGCCTTTGGCGATATGAGCCATCTCCTGCATGGGGCCGCCGTTGGATAGGATGTCCCATTCACTCCTCAGCCGCTCGTCACGGAGGAAATCAAAAAGTCGTTGGGGCGATACCGGGAGCCATACCGACGTAGCTGCACTCAACACAATGCCTGGAGGTTCCCCAGGATCGTCCACGCTCTTTCGTGTCATGACTCGGACGTCCTCATCGACGCTCCCAGCATTCAGCTTGTTCCATTTGTGCACTGTGGATGCACACACGCCTGCGCAGAAGTTGGCTGTCATTCGTTGCGCTAGCTTCAGCATGCTCCGCCTCCCGCCAGCAGTTATGGCTGCAGCAAGTAAACATTAACAAACTTATAATAACATCCACAGTCAGTCAAGATGTTTAGGCTGTCTTAAAAAAGAAACATGAGACGATAAGATACCGGTGTGGTCTCGTATTGGTGCAGCTGATGACATGAGAATGGCGAGGCATTCACATTGCCGTTGAAGGGTGGCAACCCACCGTTGTGCTCCGAAGCCCATGCCGGAGCTGAGTAGGGGACGGTAGAGCTGGTGGACTTGGCTATCATCGTACTCTGCATGTTCCACCCACGTAACCTGATCCCATAATCGCAACACCTTAATAATTTACTAAATATTCATAAATTTGATTCACATAATAAGATCTTTAGCAAGTCAAAGCATCATGATCCCTGCAGATTGACCAACTTCATTTTTAAAAAAAGGGGTAAAAAAATTGAAGGGCATCTGTTTGACTGTTGTGGAAATCAGAAATGGTGAAGAGGAGAGAGAGAGAAAGAGAGAGAGAGAGGGAGAGGAGTCATTGGTGTTTGACTAAATAGTCGTTGTTTGGATTAAAAAAAGAGACTGACACATGAAGAATAGGCTGGAACCAGTTCAGACACAGATGCATTCATCTATTAACCAAACACAGCATAATCGAATAGAAACATCAAAATGCCTTGGTTTTCATCGAACCAATGAGGCAACCTCCACTATTTGTATGGATAAATAAACAATTTAATGTGCTCGAGACACAGAAATTTCAGTAACAAAACAGGAACCTCGATTTCCAAACATTATTTTAATGAAAATTAAGCAAACCCAGATGTTGAAAATCCAAGTTCTGGATAGAGAAATTTTGTCAAAAAGATTTGGAGCATCCCAAGAACATATAGTATTGTTTTGGAAGGTTCAGATTCTAAAATATTGTGTTGCTTTGATTTAAATAATGCACTACTGACAGATTAGTGATTATAGTGAATAATCACTAAAGTTTTAAAGTCTGACTTGGGAACTGGAAATCTGGAAATGGGCAAATGGACAACAATGGGAATGGCTTTGAATTTTGATCCATTATTTCTTCTTCATTTTCAACTTCTCTGTGTTGCTTTCACTTTAATGTTTCGTGGGAAATGGCATTCAATGACAAAGCCAAAATAAATGTAAGAAAGGACGACCAGAAACATCAAAACCACACAAAATGGGTCTCCGATGGAACATTTCATGGGAAAAACATTTAATTTCATGAACTATTCATTAAATGTGAGATTAATTTTCCTAATCCCATCTAAAATTATGATGTGGTTGTTTTGTGTTTTTACCTTGGAATACCCATTGGGCATGTCTTGAACGACACACCCAGAAGGAAGCCTTCGGCAGTTGATGAATGGCGAACCCCCACCAGTTGGCGTCTCTCTCATGGCATCGACCGATACGTCGACGACTGCCCATACCCCTTCGGCATGCTGCTTGCAGAACCGAAGAAAACTGACTTCCCGGACTGGCACCAAAGGTGAGAGCACTTGAAGCTCTGCGTGCATCTGAGAGATCAAACAAAACCAATCTTAGATCTTCATGAACTGTCAAAGAGTTAAGTCTGCAAATTCAGCAGTCTCTTACCAGTTGAAGTGCACCATTCCTGCTTCCCCCCATGCCACTGGAGATCACATCGATGGTCGTCGTTCGAGCAATCATACATGGAAACATCTCAGCCCATCGATTCTGCAAATGATATGACGAAGAAATCAGGAACAAAAATAAGTAGTGATCGTTCAGGAGGCTTATTGTTTTTGTTTTAAATGTTTACCGAGTCCATCAATGTCTCAACAAGAGCCAAGCTGTTGATGATCACCATGCCAGTTTCTCTCGACGCCTCCGTGACGAAACCATTCGATTTCATTCCAATGCAAGGAGTGAATGTCCTCATGTATTCTTCCTGGTTCAGTATTTCTCTTCCACCTTCCAAGTTACCAATCCAAAGTGGCTCATCAGTCTGCGCCATTTTGACCAATTCATCCATGGCAGCCAAAGCAAGCTCTAGTAGCATAGATCGTTCAACTGAACGATCAAGTCCTGTCCCCGGTGTTGGCCTCACAGGTGGCTGAACGACAGCCAGATTACCCGACAACCCACCTCCAAAATCCGGTCCAATAGGCATTGAAGTCGCCATGGTCAAATTACCAAATCCATTACTCCCAACTCCCAGTTCCAGACTTGAGCTCGGCAATGGAGGTGCAATGGAGTTGGCCAGTGACAAAATTGGTCTGCCGAGAAACTTCCCAGCAAGTGCACAAACCCGGTCCAACTCATCCTTCAGCCGAGCATTATCAATCCTTAACTGCTGCTCTTCCAGCGAGATTTCTCCGATAATCGCCGGACCGCCGCAATTCGAACAGATTGGATTCCTCATAGCATCTCGAATCGACATATTCTCAGCTCTAAGCTTATCATTCTCCTGTCTAAGCAAAGTATTCTCATGGCGTTCCAACTGGGTCTGATCCAAACATAAAAAACAACACATCATCGATATCTAAAGCCACAAAAAATGAACAAAAAAAAAAAAAAATGGTGCAGTGCAGCTATTACCTTCATTTGGGTCCTCCGGTTTTGGAACCAAAATTTAACTTGTCTAGTTTCTAAGCACAGCCTCCTACTCAACTCGAGGCGTTGTTTCTCATCAGGATGAGGGCACTCTTTAAAAACACTAACAAACCCAAAACGAAGATGTTAAAAAATGGATTGATGAAGAAAGAAGGAGAAGGAATGAAAAAGCAATCGTACGCTTCGAGCTCTTGGATTTGCTGAGGAGTGTGTCGGTGGTAACGCTTCTTCCTCGGAGGATTGTCGGCAGCGTCCTGGTCATCGCCGGAGCCGCCGTCCATGTTGTCACTCCCAGATCTACTCTCGTGCTCTTCCTCTCTGCCTCTTCTTCCAACATTATGCTCGAAACCCTCGGGCAATCGGGCAGCTAAATCTCCCTGCCCGCCGTCCATGTTCGTCTGAGAATTTTCAAACCCATTAGAAATCGCCACAAAAACACAAAAGATGAATCGAGTGAAAAACGAAGAAAAGAGAGGGAAATAAGTACAAGAGCAAGAGACAGTCCAGGGGAGTTGAACATCGATTTGGTGAGGGATTGAGTGATGAGGCGCGGCGGAGCGATTGCGCCGGAGGATATATTTCCGCCACCGCCGATGCCGCCGGTGGGGTTATTGTTGGTGGTGGAGTTAATTGTGTAAGGTAAATCCGCTACGAATCGAGCACCAGCACCTCCGCCGCCGCCGCCGTCGAGGAAACCCCCAAAACTCATCGGCCAAAGCTTCTATAACTTCCTCTTTTATTTATTTCTTCCACTCGCTAATGTTTTTGGGGTGCTTACAAAATTAACGAAGAACTTAGCCCATTGCTAGAGAAATCAATGAAATGAAGGCGTTCCACAGAAACCCAGAAGAAATAACAGACCCACAAGACCCACAAAACCCCCAAAACCAAAAAGCAATAAGAAGAAGAGAGAGAGAGTGAAATGGAAAAACCCCTTGTGCTATTTCTTCCTCCCTCCCTCCCTCCCTCACTTTCTCTCTCTCGCTCTCTCTCTCTCTCTCTCTCCAGAAAAGAAGAAGCTGAAGAACCCTAGTTAATGGGGGCTACTTGAGCCTCGCTGCATGTTTTTAAAAAAAAAAAGAAGAAGAACCCCTTTCAAGGCAGCAGAAAACTTGGAGAATCGAAAAAAGAAAAAAGAAAAAAGAGGAGAGAGAGAGAGAGAAAGAGAAATGGAAGAATGGACGTTTTGTATTGTTATTTTAAAGATTTGTGCAGAGAGAAGAAGGGGAGAGAGAGGATAAAACGCAATATGTGGAGTATTGGAAGCCTTAGAAATACGAAGGTACAACAAAAGGGTAAAAGGGGGTGCGGTTGACTCTCAATCGCCCGTTCCCAAACCCTCTGAAAATGGCATCATACACTTACAGTTACAGTGGTGAGGAAGAAGAGGAAGAAGAGGAAGAAGAAGAAGAAGCTTAAATAAATAACCTATTCCCTTCTATGGGTCTCTGACTTCGGAAACTCCAAATTTTTGTACCAATCTCTTCCCTAAATTATGCAACTCTTTCACAAATTTTGGAATTCAATATATACTCAATTTCATTTTTTAAAATTATTATAATTTAACCTGTTCTTTAAAAATGTTTTGATAATATATTACAAAGCTTCATACATGCCATTATTAGTTATTAATGAATTTGTGAGTGTGTAATATCATATTTTAGATTTTTGTTATGATTATTTTAAAAAATTAATTTGTAAACCACGAGAGAAAAGAAAGACAGAGAATGATTAGAGAGAGATTGAGTAATAGGATGATGGGATATTTTTCACAAAAATGACATTATTTAACAAATTGACAAAGTTTTTATAAATGCTAAAGAACTTGTTAAACCAAATCTTGGGTGAACCCTAAGCCCTTTGTGTTAGAGACAGGACCACAAAAATTAGGTAGAAGGGGGAAGGAGTTGAGTTATGGTGGCCTTTTATGAGTCATACAAAATGTTGTTTTCTTTGGCTTGCTTCTCACTTTAGTCTATGCATAGAGAGAGTATAGGGCCTTTGGTAACCTTATGCATTCATTCATGCCTTTCCCCAATTCCCCATTCTCTCTCTCCTATTAATTTTTTGCACCCTTCTTCCTTTCCCCTTTCATTTTTTTTTTCTTTTTCATTTAGTGTTTTTGGTTTGCAATGCAAGCATACTCAATCCTACTCCAAAGGGTAGTTTCGTCATGTCTCAAGTGTATCGAAGGCTGGTTGGGTTTAGTAACTCTAGATTTATTAGTTGTAGGTTTGAAGTTTGGATTATTATAAGTTGGAAAGCTAATTTTAAGAACAAATTAGAAAACAAAAAAAAAAGAGAAAGGTGAAAGTAGGCACATAACATGGTTATGAAGCTAAATGTGAGTAATAAATGGCACTATAAATATTTGTTTAATTTGGGGCAATTAATTTAAATATAATCTTTTCCACTTTAAGAAAAAAGAAAGTGCTGCTTTAATATACCTCATTATGAGGTAATTAAATTCAACTTTTTATCTTTTTACTATCATTTACCACCCCATACTATTACTTTAAATTCTTCTCATTATATTTATTGTCTCAACCATATTGACTAAACTAAAATTAAAGCCCAAGTATTTTATTAGTTTCGTATGTTTTAAGCTTTAAAACCAAATTTCTAATATAACGTAAATGAATTATTATATTACATAAAAATAGCAACTTAAAAATAATTACAAACGTAGTAAAAAAAAAATCTCCCACTTTCAAATTTTTTTAATCTAAAAAATGTAACGTTTATTACCATTATAGTTCCATCAATATGTAATTAAATCAAAGACTTGAAAATTTATATAGTTAGTTAGTGATTATATAAATTAATGACTATCACACGAAAATACAAATATTTATAGATCAAGATGACCAAAGGTAACGAGACATCAATATTCTAGCAATTTAGTCTAAAATCTATTAAATATGAGATAAAATGTACGAAGAAATGAAATATATGGTTATTGTCGGGTATCCCACACCTTGAATGATGCATGATGCAGGAAGGAAGTTGAGTGGGCGAAGGTAGCGTCAAAAATTGGAACTTCATCACAAACTCAATAATGCACATCCAAAGCATATACAGTTTTTAAGGTCTATTATTATTCTTCTCTCTTTTACACAAAATAATGGTTATAGAGAGATGTAAATGGAAATGTGAAACAGAGGCACATGGTGAATGAGATCATTTATTCCCATGTTTTTGTCTAATACTATGGCTCGATCATTTCTTCTAAAAAGAAAAAATAAACGTTAATATGAACATAACTCAATTGATAAAGGGAAACACTCTTCTACTAATCTCATGTCATGCCTTTTAAGAAAGCTTGAAAATGAAGGAAGGAGGAGAAAAGAGAGGTGAGGGTTGGCAATGGCATGACTTTCATTAAGACATAAAACCCTTTTCAATCTATAAGTCGGGCAGCTCTTGTGAAATAAAATGGAGGATATCATATCATTCCCCCAAAATACAAATACAAAAATATATGATTAGTAAGAAAAATATTTATTAAAGGATGGGGTAAGGAAGTTATAATTAAATGGGGGGGAAGATGGAATGGCAATGGTCCACATGAGCGGAAAATAAATAGAAAACAGTGGAGGATGAATTTGGGGTCGGTAGGGGTGTAGGGTGTAGGTGGATCCCCACACATTCCAGCCAGCAGCCAGCATGGAGTTTGGGAGGGAGGGAGGGAGGGCAGCCTCATTTATAGGTGCGGCCAAAGACATGGAGGATCCACGCACCCTCTGCTGCTCCTCCTCCTCCTCCTACCCTATTCCCCTCTCCCTTCATCCTTCATACCCTATTACCACCTTAAACCACAACGCTACCTCCCAACTTGTACTCAATGAGTCTCTTGTTTTTGATAATGTAGAATACTTATTATCTCAACCCTTCAATATTGTGTTTGTGTCTTAGTCGTTTGTTGAAAAAGAATTAACAGCCTTACCCATCAGATGTATAGTAAAGAACATATAGCGTTTCTTGTTTATGATATACTATAATACAAGTTCCATTACGAATAAAGTATGTGTTTAACAACAGAATGTACCTGATCAAATTCAGCCACACTACTCTGCAAACCCTGTGGGAAACTTCCATTTCCTTCATGTCTTGGGAAATGTACAACTTTATTGATGGAGTCAACATCGGCCTAGTACACACAAAGGAGAGGTTATTAGTAAAGAATTACATGACCAAACTTTGAAAAATGGGAGCTACGAAGACCTGAATTTGGTTTGTGTTTATTAAAGCCAGGAGCTGCTTCTCAATAGCTTCAATGTTTGTACCAAAAACAACAGCCACTCTCTGCAAACCAACTGCCACAAAGGGCTCGGTGTAGACAATAAGTGCTCTGTTTCTGATTTTATTATACAGTGTCTCGTAGTGATTGAAGAAATATATGTCAGCCAACAGCCATTCTCTCAAGTTATCAAGGTGTCTGAAGCACGAACAATAACGCCTGCCAATAGATCATCATACACTAAGAATCTGAACGTGAAGTTTGGTTGAGAAAAGATGAATCAAAGTTCACTAGGATACCTCAAGTAAAAATCCCTGACGAGCTCCTTCACTTCCAGAGCTGAATCCAAGTAGAAATGAAAGTTCTGATTATCCATAACTGAAGTCTGGGGATGTAAAAAACCAGTGACTAAATAAAATTCTGTGCAAAGTAAATGGAGAATTAGAAAAGAAAAATGGAAAAATTGGTGCCTTGAACTCTATTGGATCAAAAGTTGCGAGTGCACATAGGGCGCCAAAGGTAGCAATATCATGAGCAGCCATGACTTTTGAAAATCGGTTTCCCAATTCTTTACTTACTCCCAAGAGCTGCATGTATACTCCTAAGAATATGAGTTACGGAAGAATTTATTGACATGGAAATGATGATGGATTGGCTAAGCCAAACCTGATGAGCAGCGTCTTTATAGCAATGTGACTTGAAGCGAGCCAATCCCAGAGCACAGCGCAGAGTCTCCATTGTAATAGGATTAAGATTTGGATATTGCATTCCTTTTTCCGCAATCTCCGCAGAAGCTTCAAACTGCCCCAACTCAATCACCACCACAATCAAACGCCTTAGCAATTCTGAGTAATTCTTATCGCTCCTGCAGAAATGTACGCTCTTCTTGTAAAACGCATAAGCCCTCGTAAGAGCGCCGTGGTCCTCGTAGAAAACTGCTATCGAATTGAACACGTTTCTTGCGTCCTCCGCACATATGGTTCTTTCCGTGTAAGATTTCTATCACAAAACCACCAATGAGGTGTATATATATCGAGATAATTCAATAATCACTACAGAATTTGATTTACTGATTCAATTCATACCTCACAATTCTTCGCGCATCTCTGTAGCATTTCGCTCATCACACGCCTCCCCTCAATCACCGAGTTGCACCAATTTTCATCCATGTCGTAATTAGGGCCCAATCTCCCGTCAATTTTTCGCACGATTTTGATGAACACATTCACGTCCTTGCCCTTTTTGGCTATATCGTACGCGATTCGGAGTGCCTCCAGTTGCATACTCCGCCGCCTTTCATTGGCGTTGCCGAAGCGATCGGCGATGAATATGAGGCGGAGGATTTTGGTACTGCGGTGGTAGTTGCTTGCGTATGCTTGGATGTCGAAATGCTTGCCCCCCTTCAAGAACGGCGTGGGAGAGTAGCCCTTTTCTTCTTCATCGCTATCGAAGTTACCATAATTATCTTCCGGTTTGTCGCTGTGGCCATCGGATTTGCTTCTGCAGAAATGCATTTCGGCGGACTCTGGAAGCAGATTCGTTTTCTTGCTGCAGCAGATAGAGAGAGGGAAGTGTGTGTGAAGTGAAGACTGCGTTTATGCGGCTTTGGTAACTGTTACCACACAAAACGACAAAATTATAGTTCGTTAAAGTCAAAGTTTGACTGGATTTGGTTGATTTTTTTTTTCCTAAAAAAAAATCAATGAATTTTTTTAAAACTTCAAAACCTATCCATCTATTAAATAAAAAAAAATTTAAAAAAATTTAAAAAATTTAAGATATTTTAGACCAAAAATAAATTTCTAAAATTACACATTTGATGCATAATTACCCTTTATTAAACCATTTTTTTTTAATAAATCTTAGATTTAGTTGAAATCATTTTTATTAAATTTGACTACACTAGCTTCTGATAGAATACTAAAATTCTTATCTAGTTTATGGCAAAGAGGGAAGATTTGAATCTTGAGCCCCTTGGTCGATGATATGAAACATGTTCATATGTATATATTACATATAACATCGATTACTCATTGACATTTAAATTGAAGTAGGTTAATTTTCTATTACTAAAGCTAATCTCTTCATATTAATATTACAGATGCAAGAGATAAACATACGAGGAAAGTATATTGGTAGTTGAGGGGAAATAGTTCACCGGATACTGGCAACCTTCTGTTTGTTATCCTCCGAACTACATTATTGTTTCATTTAGTTTATGAAACAACTACTACTGTAAAGCATCCAAAAGGCCCCACTTTTTCCCCTATTTCCTACTGAACAGACTTTTCAACTTCCCCCTTTCCAGTTTCTCTACCAGTTTCTTTGCCCCCGGTATGTCCATTTCTGCTAGCTTCTTCAGATACCCGATCGCCCCATACGATATCATCAGCTTCTTGCATTTCCTGCTTGAAGAGAGCAACCCAAGGCACGCAACCGCATATTTCTTTGCTGTGTTTTGGGGGCTTGGATCAAGCAGTTGGACGAGATTTGGGACACTTTTTTCGTCCCTCTTCAGTTCTCTACAGTTCTGTGAAAGGGTCATAAGGCTTGAGATTGCTTGCGCTGCGACTTCTCGAACACTGTTTGTTTTGGCCTCGAGGAGTTTGATGAGAAGCGGGATGCATTTGGCTTCGCCTATAAGCTTCTTCATGTCTGGTGAGCTACATACCCTGCAGATTGCTGATGCTGCTGCCTGCTGTGCGCCGAGTGATCCCAATTTGAGCACATGCACTATACGGGGGAGGAAGCCAAGAGACAACAGAACTTCCATTGAAACTGAGCTGACTAAATTCCTCAAAGCCCCAACTGCATATTCTTGAGGGAGAGGGCCATCCAGATGTGCCAATATGCAGCGAAGACCTCCTTCAGCGATGACCGATCTCCTTAGAGCTTCGTTGCTAGCGGTGAGATTCTGTAGGCATTCAGCTGCATACTCTTTGGACCCCAACAGAATTCCACGATCCACAAGACTGATCATCACCCTTGTGATCCCTTCTTCAGCCAAAGTTTGTCGAACCTCAGGTACGGCTGATATGTTCTTCAAGGCACAAGCAGCAGCAGCCTGCGATACAGAATCACCAGTCTTGCATAGTTCGATAAGAGGTTGAACCCCACCATGCCCAACTATTGCCCGGGCAGTATCAGCTGGCATTGACAACCTTTGCAGTGAAATGACTGCTTTTTCTTTAGCCACAGCACTGCCAGACTCAACAAGTCTGATTAGAGGTGGCAAAACGCCTTCCGAAACAAGCCAATTTTCACAACTTCCCGATTCAACTAGCATGCAAATTATGGTGATTGTCTTCTCTCGAATACGCAGAGAGGTTGCAGTAAGCAATTGGACTAAAGCTGCAACATTATTACGACCAAAGACAGACAAAACATTGTCATCATCCTCTTTCAGGATCTCAACGAGGCTATCTAGAGCTCGATGTTTCGCCTCCATATGGCCAATCAGCAGCCTTGCAAGCAGTTCTCTTATGTTGCTATAGTCAGTAGACTCCTGTTGCAATGAACAACCTGACAAGAGTAGAGGCAGAGTAGCCTCACCGAGCATACCCGTCTTAATCAAAACGGCACAATCATGTAAATTCAAATCCAATTTCCCAGACAGCGAGTCGAGATCGCTCTGAATCCAAAGCTTGCCTTCAAATTTTTCTCTAACACAAAGCTCCGCCAATTCAATGGCTTCCTTCAAGCTGTTCAAAACAGCCTGCAATTGCTCCTTGCAGAGGACATTCTTTGAAAAGCAAGGATGGCTAAACAAATCAGATAACCGCGGTGGAAGCTGCTCGAGCTTTGAAACAATCATCTTCCACCTCCCTGGAAACACCTTAACCTCCGTAGCCTTCTCCAGAGCCACAGGAACAAGCTTCTGAGCTTGCAGCAGCCATTCTTCGGCCGACTCTGCCTCAGACTCTGCCTCATCCGAACCCCCATCAACACCTCCCTCTTCCACCATGATTCAAATCTGGAAACAGGAATCAAGAGAAATAGAAATTCAGATCAGAACTGAACTCTCCCAGCAGCGCAATTATAAAGTTAAAAAAAGAATCGATGTGCGGCAATGGAGAAAAATAATCAGAAAAAGGCGGTGGAGAAGTTGCAATCAAAAGACAAGTAAATTATAAATTACTTTTGGAATTCCTTTAAAGTTAGGTATCTAAAAATAAAAGAACAAAAACAAATGAGCAAAGCATAAAGATAAGAGCATCGAAGAATCAAAGAAAGCCCCCACAAGTCCCTTCTACAGAAAACAGCCGACACAAGATTAGATTGCAAAAATCCCACAAATTTCTATTCTATGAATGACGGTGGAGTGGAAGTGAACTAAATCCAACGGTTCTCATTTGGCAAGGAAAAGGGAAAGCTGCTAACTTCGCCATATTTACCGTTTTGGCCTCGTTTAAGAGAGAGACAGAGACTTTCCTTTGAAGAGAAGGTAGGGAAAGGGTCACAATCTACAGCTGGTAGAAGAGTAATACTAATTTCTTCTTGGAAACTTCAGTAAAATCCAAGGAAATAATCAGTAGAAAGACATTTCTGCAATAGCCCATTTGGAAAAACATCGCACCCTATCAATCAAACAGAGATAAAGAAAACTTAAGATAGAGACTGAGAAGAAAGACAGAGTCGAAGGAGAAAATAGAAAACAGAACAAAAAAAAAATAAAAAACTAATCTTTAAGAGTTGACGAGACTGCAATAATCATAGCAAGAAGATTCAAATCAGAAACAAATATCTAAACCTTCAATCAATATATTTACCTCTCTCTCTCTCTTTCTCTTGAGAATCTCTGTCTATTACTCAGTTTTTGGTGGAAACGAAGACGACCCAGATGCCTCAGTTGCAATTTTTATGAAATTAGAAGTATCCCAGGCGCCACTTTTGCTTTCTCGAAGAGAAAACGGTCGAAAGCGATCCAAAAATTCAAAAAAAATGCTCAAAAGAAGATCTCCACTGAAGAAAGAAAGAGACAAACAAACAAGAAGAGTTGGGAACAAACAACACATTCAAAAAAACAAACTTCCATCATAAATCCTCTCTCTCTGTCTCTAGTGGAAGAAAATGTCAAAATTGTGTCATCTTCTCAGGCTGTTTATGGAGAGCAACTTATTTTACATTGGCGGTAGCTTAGAGAGGGAGAGATTTAAGATGTTGGGGAATGGGAATGAGATGTTAAATGTGAAACGTGATTCTGGATCTGACGGTGGATTGACCATCGGTGTAACATGTAGAATGTGATCGAGGATCGGACGGTGGATAATGAATCTAAACGTTGAGATAAAATTTGAATATGCTTGGGGATAGGAAGACCTTCAAAATTGGAAAGTGGTGACGTGGCAACATTTGAAACGACTCATGTAATTGCGTTTTACTTTTTTTCCCCTTTTTTCTCTGGGGGTTGTCATCAAACCCACGTGTACCACACGAATTTTCAAAATCGTGAAGTGTTAAGGGTGAAGCTACGGTAGGAACCTCTAGAATGATCAAGAAATTTCGAAACTGCCACCATTTTTTTTTTTTTTTAACTTTTTAAGTTTTAAACATGGGATAAGTAAGTGTAAAGGGTCTGTTTTGGAAATTATTTTATCTAAATATTTGAATTGCACAATTACGAATAATAAACACTAAAAAAAAATACAATCACTATTACTAGAAGGCTTAAATAATAGTATACCATTTTCATAGAAACAGTTTTTACGAGTTTTTTTCTTTTTCAAGCTTCATCAATGTCAAAGCAGTGTAATTGCAAGAAGAGAATATATTTTTAAAAAAACAATTCTTCATATGACAGCCTAATAAAACCATTGAAAAACAGAAGAAAAGAAAAGGTGTGGACAGGAATCTTATTTGCTTCAAATAATCTCCAACGGCCTTATCCAAAAGTGACAAAAAAATCAGATAGCAATCAATCAGAAAAAAAAGGAAAAAAAAAAAAAGCCACAAAGAAACAGAGCAATAGAGAGAGGGATGGAGAAAAACCTTGAGATTCTGTTTAGCCTGCCATCGCACGTTAGCTCTTTGAGAAGAAGAATCTCATCAAAATCGCTATTTCTTTTTCATCGTTTCAGACTTTTTGCCGCCATTTCTGATACTTCTTTCTTCAACCCTTCCATATCAAAATCTCCCACTTCCATTCTCCCTTCATGGACCCACCACCACAACTATTCCAATCAGCAGAACAACCGTCATCTTCTCCTTCCCCTTCCATCCATTTCATATTTCTTCAATATTTTCCCCAGTTCCCTTTGAGTCACCTCCAAGCCATATCACGATTCTTCTTCCCCTTCTCCTTTCTTTTCTTTTCTTTTCCATTCTATTTCCCCAGGATTCCCCTTTCTAACTCTCTAAGTTTCTGCGATTTTCCCAGTTGGGTTTTCAGATTTCGAGACGACGGGTTCTGGTATGAACTTTATTACCACTGTTGTCGGGTTTGGAATGAGTGCCACATTCATAGTGTTCATCTGTACAAGAATCATCTGTGGTCGACTTTGTTCCTCTCAATCCAATAGCCTCAATTACGAGATTGAATCCAGGGTGGATTTTGAGCAGCAGGTAAAAAGTAATGCCATCTCTCTTAATCTGGATCTGCACAGTGCGTTTTCTATATGTTTGTAGATCATGAAATCTCATTGGCTAATTATCATATGCTACTCAGTCTACTGGTGTAGCCAAGGATTAGAATGATACCATTGTCTCGCATCTATATGTCAAAATGATGAGCTTCTTGATTCTTTTTTGTTGTTTTGATGCCAGCCAGAGTCTCGGGCAAGTGGTCTCGAACCGGTTCTCATCGCCGCTATTCCAACTATGAAGTTCAATCGAGAGGCTTTCAATTCTGTAGAATGTGCTCAGTAAGTAAAACTTTTAATTCATTAGCATAAGAATAGATGGTTTGGCTTACAGTTTTGTAGAAGATGTTGAGCACTGATAGATAGATTACCTGACCCACTAAACTATGGCTTATTGTGCTCCACTTTCAGGTGTTCAATCTGTTTGGGTGAGTATGAAGAGAAGGAAGTACTGAGAATGATGCCCAAATGCGGTCACAGATTTCATCGCTCCTGCATTGATGTTTGGCTGAGAAAGCAGTCTACATGCCCAATTTGGCTGCCATTGCAAGACTCTTCTAGAACAAAACCTGCAAGACCAATGACAGTGAGCAGAGATCAGTCTTTTGATGGTTCTGAGATTTCAACCGATCATCATTCTCAACACTGGCTTCTACCCGGCCCCATCCGTTCGGAGGGCAACACAAGCAACCAGACACAGCTTGAATCCGTTTCAGTAAACCCCTCAGTTCAAAGAGAGAGAGAAACAATACGATGACCAAATTAGCTTCACTGCTGGGTAGGTAGGAGCATGATTACATCATTGGATATCCCATACTTCTGTACAGAAGTGTTTCCATATTCTTTTGCATTGGGTAGTGTAGATTTAGGCCTTCGCAAACAATGCAATGAATTCTCATCATGTTGTGGATATCTATCTCTATAAGTTTTTACCTCATTCAAACATAACATATCAAATGAAAGTTTGGCAGAAACTTGCAGCAATGAACATTTTTCCTGGAGCTTAAACCAGGATATTGAATGAAGTTAATGAACAAACTTAGTCACATTGTAGGCATTTCCTGCTTGCACAAACATTCAAATGTTTTGAGATTAGCCTGACTCAATAGTTTGAATAGTCAAGATATTTAGGTATGCAAAACAACGTGAAATATCTCAATAAAATATCACATTCAAGGAAAAAATTGGAACATTGCAACTCTTTCGAAAAACTAAATCAAACCACACATATACATGCGATTTCATTAAACCAGAAGTTTACATCACTAATTTCTATTTTTGTGGAACTGCTACAGCCACGAAAGAAACTTATAAAACATACGGTCTAAATCAAGAAAATGTATTGTACTATTCAAAGCACGCAATCAAGACAACATGGAGGATAAAATACAACGGAAACATTAATGAATTAAAATCTGTAGTCCCCTAAAACTGACTTTTTGGCGTGAGCCAAGTATCTTTGGAGATCAGTGGAGTGAGCCATGAGCATATTGCAATGAGTGAGACCCAAATTGGGGACTATGCAACACAATTATACACAACATAAAACAGTACAGAGAAGTCAACCTCAGCCTTCGTGTAGCAGTTGACCGTGCTCTAACACACTGCTTATTTATGTGCGCAAGAGAAATCAGATGTGATGTTGTCTCTTCAACGTCGCTATCCTTTCATCATGCCATGGGGGGAAAGGAAAATAGCACAAAACTGATAACATATTGACACTTGACGAAGGCATGGTGAAGCCCTGTTGGCACCGACAGAGCTCAGATCTCTGGCAAAGTGGCTCACTTGGTAATATAGTTCTGAAAGAAACTGGCAATAAACCTTTAATGACACAGACCCTCGTTACATTACTCTTGAGCATTGATATTGGCATTGAGACCCGTGCACCTTCTTGTGGGCACTCAATTCCCCCCTATAAAGTCTACCTGCCATCTCCATACCTATTTAGAAAGAAGATTATCAGACCGCATAAAAACAGATGAATCAAAATGAAAAAGTCTGTATCAAATGCTAAACCTCCTATTATGAATGCTGCCAGAAATTCAAATCCTTCTTTAATCATCTTTCTTACAATTTTGTTCATGAGTTCCTTTTCATCTTCTGATTGACCAACGTTTCCTTATAAAATTTTATGGATCAAGAAATCTGCGTTAAATCCCTTCTTAAATCAATCAAATTGATAGATTTTTCAAAAAAGAAAAAAGAAAAAATGAAGAGAACATAGCTTTACCATGAAACCCTTTTTGTACCATGAAAATAGAGTTCAAGGTCTTTCTTAAATTAACCAAATTGATAAGAATTTGCAACAAAGAACTAAACGGTAAAAAGGAAACATAAGAATAGAAAACCAAAAACTTGAGTTCAAGGCTTTTCTTCAATAAACCAAAAGAATCAAAATTTAATGAACACTAAGGGGCAATCTGGGAGATAGTTCGAAAAAACACTTGCTTAAAGGTTGATATTATCTTTCAGTGATTTTAAAAGGAAGAACAACTCCAGTTGTTTAGAACACATATTCAACCATGAAAACAAACTTAAAGATAACAAGATAATAAAAATTGTATGTAACAGCTATCCAAATATGTTTTCACAAAAGTTATGTTCTACAAGGCAAGAAGTTTCTTTCTCATAATAGCTCCGAAACATGCATTAACTTCTCAGTGACACCAATCAATAACTTCGCATAGCAAACATAAAATAGAATTAAAGCAATGGACGCAGATAAGGATGATCAGAGAAGTATACAAGGCCTCGTAGCTTGCTGTAATACCAGAAATCCAAAAATGAAAATTAACAAAGACATTACCATAATGAGAACAAGAATAAAACTGATTGTATCAGTATACACAATAACCTATCAAGGCTAGTGGAAGCGTTGAACTTACTCCAACTGCACTTAATTCACAAACTGAGAAGTGAGAAGGGCATGTGTGATGCTTTGCATTCTCAAAAATTTTGTAAGGATCATCTCAGAAAATACTGCTCGCGAGGTTTCAAATTTGATAAGCATAAGGAAAAGTTCAGAAATGGATCATGACAAACAAAACGAATCAAAAAGGGACAAGGAATGTGTTCAGTATCTTCCTAATGCTAATGGAACCAAAAGGTCACCAATTGCTTCAATTTCAAGTTCCACTCCACGATGCTAATTGAAGAATCAAAAGCTAATAGCAATGGCAATAACACAATTTGAAATGTTCAGAGCCTCACCAGAATGCTACTAAATTCTTCCATCTCGTTTTTCAAACTTGGCTACGTCTGTGCCTCACGCATGAAACTGTGAAATCAGGTCCAAGGCCCGCAATCTCTCAACATGAGGATCGAAACCCTTCGCCGTCGCACTAAACCGATTATCACGATGTACTCGTCTTTCCTCCGCCATAGCCGCGGCCGACGGCGATAGCTTTCGTTTGACCCGCTTGTTCTTAATAAAACAATCCTTCATCTTCTCCTCAACCATTTCAATCGTGCCCTTGGAATTCTGCTCGGCGTCGGCATCTTCGTCGTCGCCGACCTGCATCGGCTCGTTGCCGCTGTCGTTGAAGGCGGCGCTGGTTGCAGAGGAGAGGAGATTATCGTTGATGGAAGGGGGAGGAAAAGGAAGAGGAAGAGATTGGGGGAAGTGAGGTGTAGAGAGGAAAACGGAGAGGTTGAGGTTGGCCTGGTGGAGAGAATTGTAGATTTGGAGGAGATGGGCTGGGTTAGAGGTAGAAGAAAGCTGCTTGGCCATGAACGATGCTTGCTCTAGCGAGAGCACAAGGTCGGGCAATGAAGGTGCTGCTGCTCCTTCTGCCATGCCTTCCATCTTCCTTCTCTCACTATTAAGGTAAACAATTTTTGCAGAAGAAAAGCAAGATTGGATGATGAACCAAAAATCACTAACCTATTCTTCGTTGCGTTAAAAACACCGAAAACAAAAATCTTGTTTTACCCTAAACTTTGATAATTTTTTTAAAAAAATAAAAGATTCTTATATCACTTTAATAGATTCTTTAAAAAGATTCTTATATCACTTTGTTCATTTAATAGTTAATATTTTTCACTAATATGGACTCAATTTTATGTTGGTTTTGATTTCATTTTCAAAAGTGAATAAACTAAAAATTGAATGCTCTTAATATTTTTTTTTATATTAATTATAGATTAAATTTAATGTCCATAAATTTTTTATTTACATTATTTCATCATGTTGAGAAAAATATGATGATGTATAGTCTAATTAGTTTTTTTTCCCTTTGTGCCGTTTAAAATAGACCATATCTATGGGCAATAAGTAACCTGAGCAGAACACTGCTATTAGTTGAACCAAACTATGACTAAGGATGCGAATATGCTCATTGATCATATATGAGCTTCCTTTCGATCATCCCAACAATACCTACATTAATATATGCCATACGTCAAATGCTTCTCATGCATTGTGACACGTAAGCACCTCCTAGTTTCCTTCAAAAACCGAAATCCCTTGGCTTCTCTACAACCAACAACAGTGTAAAAGTAAAGAAATGGAAGCATCAACCGGCGTGGGTGCGGCCAGCGAGCAGCTAATCGGGGCGGAAGACGACAGGAAGGGGAAGAAAAGGCCAAATGAACCGTGGAACGGAAAGCTGGGCAAAAGCATCGTGTACGGAGGGCTGGACGCCATTGTTACATGTTTCTCTCTCATTGCTTCTATTTCCGCTACCCGCCACTCTGCCGGTCACCCTTTTTCTTTTTCTTCTCAAATACTGCTCATTAATATTTGTTTCTATCACGCAGTCTTCCTCCAATTTTTTCCTTTTTTTTTTTTTTTTAATAAATCTAATCATATTTTATAACAAAAAAAAAAATAAATAATCTACTTTAATTAATTTTCATAATCACAGTGGACGTGCTGGTGCTNGGATTTGCCAACCTAATAGCGGATGGGATATCCATGGGGTTCGGAGATTACGTGGCCACCACCACAGAGAGAGCTGTCTCCGTGAAGGAGAGGGCGGCGGCGGAGTGGGACATCGACAACCGCCCTGAACATCAGCACCTCCTCCTCCTTCAACACTACCAGTCTCTCGGAATGGACTTTCACGATGCCTCTACAGTACTCTCTCTCTCTCTCTCTCTTTTCCTCTCCCATTTTTTTTTAATATTAAAAAAAAAAAAAAAAAAAAATCAAACTCGTTAGGTGGTGAACATAATGGCGAAGTACAAGCACATAATGGTAGAGGAGAAGAAAGGTGCGGCAGCTCCACCAAAGGACAGCAAAGACCGGCCATGGAAGAACGGGCTGGCGACGTTCGGATCCTTTCTCGCGTTCGGCTGCATCCCACTGCTCTCCTTCATCCTCCTCATTCCTTTCACCGATAACGAGACCCTTAAGTTCGGTGGGGCTTGCATTCTGGCCCTTCTTGCACTTGTGCTTCTAGGTGTCGCCCGAGCAAAGATCGCTGCCGGAAACTATGGCTTCTCCGTCGCCTTAACGGTGCTTAACGGTGCGGTTGCGGCGGCAGCCGCCTACTCTCTCGGCTGGGGTCTAAGGAATGTAGCTGGAGTTGATGAGGAGACAGAGACTTAAATTTAGAGATAGTAGTCTGAGGGGTACGTTTAAAAAATACATTTTAATAATGACCATTACGTAGGTTTTGTTTGGGCATATATATATATATACACACATTCAATAATCGTCATATTCTTATTCATTTTGGTTACGTGGATGGGAATTAGTATTTATATGTTTGCTTATCTAGCATAGGGGATTTTGTGGGAGGAACTTTTAGTGTGAGAGATACACTTAGTTATGGTTGGGTGAAATCAATTTTGTCTCTGGGCGTGTGAGTGCATCGCTCTCACTTTTGCTACAACAACAATGGGTATCATAACATTTTAGTTTTAGTTTTAGTGGTGGGTACATTTACCGTGCACAACTTGGTATCAGAAGGATGGGCACATCAACAAATATATATAATACTATATTATTGGGTAGAAAATGTAACGTGTTAAGATTAAGGTAATTTTTAGACGGAAGAGAAGCGAAGCTAATTTGTATAGGTAATTTTTAGACGGAAGAGAAGTGAAGCTAATTTGTATGGCAATTAAGCTGTTAACGAAAATTGGTTGGTGTGGAATTATTCTTTATAATTATTTACTATTTAGGGAAAATAATATATTATAGAGTTTGAGGACGCAACTATAAAATAAATTAAAAAATGACGGAAAGATTTGTCCCCTAAAGCAGCCGGTCTCCAATATAAAGTTTGAATTTTTTAAATTTATGCAGCCTACCTTGACGGGAATGTGACTTAACTATTTATGTCCATTTTTTTTCCTAATTAATTGGTTTGAGAATTTCCATATTATTAAGCAATTAATTCCTGTTTTTTTAAATATATATATTTATTAATTTGACTTCTAAAAGATTTTATCGTGGAGGATGAGCAGTTCCGTGCAGTTTGATTAGTTTCACTACATAATGTAATTTGATAGTTTAAGTATGGTTTGAATTTTCATATTCTTAATTAAAATAGAAGAAGTTTTTCAACAAAGAAAACAAATATATATATATATAAATATGACGAAACATCCCCTGATGGTGGTAGCGTTCAATTCCTTGTGGTCTGCTCCATTTCTCGAAACCGCCATAACTGACCTCCACCTCCTCTCCCTCTTTTTATACCCAAAAAACCAAATACCAAATTCATCTTCTCCCATGGCTTCCTCGATATCCTGCTACTCTGTTTTCATTTTCATGGCGCTCATGCTCCTCGCCTCTGCGCAATCCGGTCCCTGCGACGACATCTACCTCGTCAGAGAAGGCGAGTCGCTGCACTCTATCAGCGCCAAGTGCGACGATCCTTTCATAGTCGACTACAATCCGCAGATTCAGGATTCCGATGATGTCTTTCCTGGACTACTCATCAAAATTACGCCATCGCTTAACTCCAGGAAGCTCTTCTTCAGGTAGCTCGAATCCCTAATCCGCTTTCGTTTTCTCTCCATTTACGATTCGCTTCTGTAAATTCATCGACGATCATCTCAGAGGATTTCTCTTTTGCCTCTGCCTCGATTTTTCATCTTCTTCTGTATTTGTAAACTTATGAATCGTTTCTGTAAATTGATTGGATCACACTGTGTTCTTTTTAATGTTGCTGTTATTATTACGTACTAAGTAATGATGAAGTTCGTGTTGATTCAATTTTCCAGGAAGCCGAACAGCTACAATCTTCATTAAGTTTTTATTCACCAACTACGATCATCAAGGTTGGAGCCAAATCTGACTTGCATGCCTTCATGTTTTCATCCCGTTTTTTGAATAGTCAAAGAAAGAAACATTAAATGTTGATTATGAAAAAGGAAGAAAGGGGTAACCACAGACATTTTCTATTTTTTTAAGGGTATTTTTACATGCATTAAACTTTTGAAGAGAATTAATATTCCAGAAAAACCAATTATATTTTTATAATCTGGAACAAAAATAACTTTTCAAAAGAAACTTTATTTAAATTATTGTTTAAATTACAAGAATTTAAATACTAACTTTTTCATACATCGCCTCTATCGCTCAATTATCGCATAGGATCCGAATATTGAATATTTCAATATGTACCTCCTCTAATGCAGTGAGATATAAATACACACAATATACACGAAGAATGACATCTAAATCGTTAGTATAAAAACATGTCATCCTTCAAATTAGACAACGAACTCAATCAGTGGAATCGAGCCTCACCAAATTTAACCCATCATGCTAATGAAATTAATACTTTTATTTTTCTATCCGTTCATAAATAGACATGAAGTCTTACAATCCACTTTACCTAACAAATGCATATACAATCATCACATTCACCACATATTACAACATGCAACACATGCAAATATATTTAACTTAGAGATCAGAAGGCACATAAGGTGGACTAACTAACAACGGAAGTAGAATGCTAGAAAGTAAGTAGAAACTTTATTTTTTCTTTACGTTTTTTAGTTCAAGTACAGAAATGACCTACCATCGCCTGAACAAAAGCTCAATGAGACCACTGCTTTAACAAGAATGAATAAATCGAGTACCCAAATTCTCACAATTAGTTTAAATGATATATATTTCCATCATAATTGACAAAAATGTTACAAGTAGATCCTAAGACTTGACTCATAGATGCAATCCCAGAAACCATCAGTCAGAAGCGCCTTAATATACAACACAAAAACAACTCCCGGTGCAAAGTTCCAATACCTCAAGAGCGGAACCATGCAATGATCACTCCAACTCCAAATATTCGACCTTCATTTCACGAATGGCACTCCAGAAGGTACCCGATTCGCGTACTCCTCATACTCGCGGCCAAAAAACTGTCTCAGGAAGTACTCTTCATATGGAATTCGTTCAGCAAAGAATTGCCAAACCACAACAACAAATCCAATTGTTGAAATGGGATTACAGAGCATGATTTGAGTGCCAACTGCCCACACAAGGAAACCGCTGTATCCAGGATGACGAATAAATCTATAGACTCCATAAGTAATCAGCTTGTGATGGTCCTCATGATAGATCTTAATCAGATGTGTAAAAGACCGACCTGCAGTTACGATCGCCAGTTTACGTACTGTTTCTCCAACTACAACCATTGCAAGGCCTGTCTGACTAACCCACCAGTATTCCTTAAGACCGGGACACAACACAATTTCAACAAAGTACTCTAAGAAACATAACATCATTGCCAACAGATAGTTTTTGCTTATCAGAAGGGACTTTAGAGTTACGTTGGATTTCCCATGAATTCCAACTGCTAACATATATTCAGAACTGTGAAAGAAGATGATTGCAAATATCATCTGAGACAACTGTCTGCATGCTGTGTAATTGAATACTTCTGTCATGTTTTGTCAACCCACAGTATCGGCTACTGCACTAAAGTTTGCAAGGGTTATAAGATCTTAGTTCAGATCTGAAAATGATGCAGAGCCATATAACATCAACACAGAGAAATCCTCATGTACAAAACCCTGAAGATCCTTTATGCACATCTAAAAAGGAAAAATATGTTAAACCAGGTTTGTATAACGGAATCCAGGATGAATTTGATAAATCACAAGAACTTTATACACCATGCAAACAAATTTTACTAATGAAAGGTTAGCAAAAAAAGTTTTCAGAAGCTCCAACATTATACTAGCAGGTATGTGCTGCATTAACTGCATCTTTTTTGAACGTTTCTGAGTGTCACATACCTGGAAGACCTTTAAAATGTCATGAGGGATACGAGAAAAAAAAAAAAAAAAACAAGTTTCACAGCTACTTGGGAAGATCGTGATAGAAACCAGAAAGCTAAAATAGTATTGAAAGATGCGAATGCAATAACTCCACTCTTGAGTATTCTTACGTCAGTTCTCTGCTTTCCTCTCCTCCCATTCACTCTATTTACAACGAACTCCTTGCTAACAAACCTTTGAGCTAATTACAAATGCACCCTTAATACCTTAACAATCTTTGTAAGGGGGGCAATAGCTAATGACGAAGTATAAAGTACAAGGGAGCAAGGCATCTATAATGCATAATTTAAATAATCTAAAGAGTGAACAACAGTTCCAAGAAATAGCATATCTCTGAAATAAACAAGAAGTTCAGGGAATTGGGAAAGCTGCTGATGAAATGAAAAGTATGAAAAGCATGAAAAGTTAACTAGAGTGTCTGTCAAAAATAAACTTCTTGTGTAATATTAGTTACAACAAAACTTTTACCCAACCTAAAAATCTACACTCCATCTCCATGTGCAAAGAAGAAATCCTAAAACATTCCATGGAGCATAAGAGAAAATGCTCCAATTTAGATTAATTGCAAAAGGTGTGTAACTATAGAATTCTTTTGCTGCAGCACCAGTTTGCTGCATCCGATCTTCCTTTTTCAACCACCATCTCCAAATGTCTAACTTGTCAAAGGAAGAAGAAGAAGAAGAAAATTCTAGTTTCTTTTCAGCGATAACATTTCCAAAAGAATCTTGTGTCAAACTAAACCATAAAATTGAAACCATGCCCCCAAAAGATAGTAATAAAGTTCTGTTTTGTTGATCAATCAAGTATCCGCCACTAAATTGGCCATGGAACAACAATGTTGTTAACTGTCCCTTTTTCTTTGCGAAACACAATCCAATTTGAGCATCTCTATGACATCTTAACGGGTGTATTTGAAGCTTCACAGAAAATGGTCCATAAGGAGACAATAATCTTATTAGGAATTTAAAATTTTACCACTCCATACCACTTCTATCAATTCCTTCTCAAGAAGTTGACTTAGTTATACAAATACATGCATCTCATTCCCAAATCATCCATCATTCAAGGCTTCTCATTCTCATTCTCATTCCTAAGGTCTCGATAACCATTTAGTTTTTGGCTTTTGGTTTCCAATTTTCGAAACTTAAGTTGGTTCCTCATAGTCTTTACAATAGTTTTCATCTTTTGTAAGGAAAAATCAAAATACATTTCAAGAAGGCAAAAAATCTTAGTCTGCTCAAATTTTTCCCTTAAACGAATTAAAGCTATAAGAAAACAACACCAACTTCTCCATGCAAACTTGGCCTTCATTCTGCATCTTTCTAGTAGTTCAATATACAATCTGAATTCATTCACTAACAAATCGAAAATAAGGAAGGAGATGAAGAAAAACACCATAATCATTGCAAAATAAAAGAAAATGCATTACTTACTGATCCTTGAAAGAAGTTTGGGTCCTTGCTCGTACTCGAAGAGATTCGACTTCGCTGAGATCGTTCAGAAATGCGTCGTTCGTGGTCGGGTCTATACTCTGTAGCCGCCTGTGGTGGACATGGTGGGGAGTACCGGGGGATCTGCCGTTGTCGCTCTTGCTGCGAGACCGGGGGTTGGGTGCGCCACAAATCTGCAAGCCTGGAGTTACCTGGTTCGTCGGTTAGAAGGGAATTGGCGCGAGACCGTGGGAACGGGGTTCGTTGCGACTGGTCTGGCGCTGCCGTCGTGGGTCACAGAGTTAAGCCCAGTCTGTAAACCAAAAGCCCAGGCCCAGACATTTTCCTTTCTAAATCCCAAAAAGATTATTTCATCATAAATTTTAAGTGCCACTTGGTTCAATCCATACAAATGTTCTTGATCAAAACGTTAGCTTTGTACCAAAAAAAATATATTTTTTTTTTGTATAAAATTACTACTAATTATATAAACAGATATATATATATATATATATATATATATATATATATATAAAAGGTTATTCAATAAATATTTTAAAAGAGTATAGACTAAAATGAATAAATTCGATGAATAAAAAAAAAGTAAATAAAAAGGATATGGTAGAATCTAGATCATTATGACTCATTTACAGCACTTCTAAAACAAAATGATTTTAAGAATAGTAATTGGATGAGTTGTGATGCCCATAGCCGCTATTATTCTTCACTTTATATTAATTTCACATCAACCAAATATTCATCATTACAACGGTAATGCATATCATTTTTCACCTTTTATTGATTGTCTTAAAATAATGATACAATTTAAGAGTATTAATAAAACTACTAAAATTAATAAAAAAAGAAAAGAAAAATAAGTATGTGGACGTGGAAGAAACACTTCCACTTTCACTCTCTCCCCTCTCTCCCTCCCTACAGAAACAAAAAAAAAAAAAAAAAAAAAAAAAAAAAAAAAAAAAAAAAAAAAAAAATTGGAAAAACAAAAACCAGAGGTTTCTAAACTGCAACTCCTCCATTAATATTTTGTGTCTTCATCTTTACATTCGAAGATTTCGCAGAAGACAGAGATTAGAGGCAAGCTACACTACTCTCAGCTTATATTTATTCTAATTCTGTTGCTTTTATGCAAGCTCAGCTCAAAGGATGTGTATTAATGGAGGTTTTCCCCTCCATTAAACTCACCGCCATCCTCATATTACCAAATGATTATGTATCCTTCATATTTAGTACTTCCAAAACTGAAGAGGGTTGGTTTTTATTCTATCAATTGTTCATGTTTAATGGTGACTTTATTTGCTGTCTGAAGGATGGTCGCATTTGGCAAGAAGTTGAGAGAATCGCAGATTCCAGAATGGCGAGAGTATGTCTAAGCTCAACTAATATATTCACCACTTGTTTGTTAATAACATAATGCATGTCGTTTTTTCATTGCACCATTTGATGTATACTGAGTTTGGGATGATTTTGAAGTAGTTTTGTTTAAGTGAAGCAATTTTTCAAGTACTTTTTGTGAGACCCACATCGATTGGAGAGAGGATCGAGTGTGAGCAAGAATGCTGGGCCCTGAAGGAGGGTGGATTGTGAGGTCCCACAATGATTAGAGAGAGAAACGAGTGCTAGCGAGGATGCTGGCCTTGTAGGAGGGTGGATTGTGAGATCCACATCGGTTGGAGAGTGGAACTGGCCCCGTAGGAGGGTGGATTGTGAGATCCCACATCAGTTGGTGAGTGGAACGAAATATTCTTTATAAGGGTGTGGAAATCTCTCCTTAGCAGGCGTGGAAAGGAAAATTCAAAGAGCACAATATCTGCTAGCGGTGTGTTTGAGTGAATTGTGAGATCCCACATCGGTTGAAGAGTGGAACTGGCCCTGTAGGAGGGTGGATTGTGAGATCCCACACCGGTTGGAGAGTAGAACAGAAAATTCTTTATAAGGGTGTGTGAGATCCCACACCGGTTGGAGAGTAGAACAGATGAGATCCCACACCGGTTGGAGAGTAGAACAGAAAATTCTTTATAAAGGTGTAGAAATCTCTCCCTAGTAGGCGTGGAAAGGAAAATTCAAAGAGCACAATGTTTGCTAGCGGTGTGTTTGAGCTGTTACACTTTTAATAGGCTAAAAATGCTTCTCACCATTCTAAAAATCATACTATATTGATAAATTTTCTGAAGACTCAACTGTAAATTAGGTAGCCTACCCTGATAGGAATCACAACTCTTCACAATCGTATGATATAGTCCACTTTGAGCATTAGCTCTCATTATTTTGCTTTGGGCTTCCCCAAAAGGCCTCATACCAATGAAGATGTATTCCTTACTTATAAATCCATGATCATTCCCTATAGCCAATGGGGGACTCCCTCCCAATAATCCTTAACACACCCATCAACTGATAGTCTTGTGCATATAAGAGTCGTGCTCATGTCACTGAGGCAATTTACAGACTACACATTCGGACGGAAAAGTCCCAACTGTATTTGAGTGAGTCAAATTAAGAACATTCAACTCTTTTGAACTTTGTTCAACTCTCCCTTTTGAACTCGTTATTTTTGCACATATTTCATGGCACATTTTTTCATATGAAATATCTTGATCATGCGACTACAGGTGCAAATACCATCCATATATGTTGACATGTTCATTTTTCTTATGACAGGTACTATATTAATTATAAGTTAATGAAGAAGAAAGTTAAAAGATATACCCAACAAATAGAGATTGGAACACAAAATGACTACTATGTGCTTAGAGACTTCTCAAGATTATTAGATATTCAGGCAAGTATACATACATTAATGATAAGTTAATAAATTTCTCTAGTTGTTTAGTTAAATTTGCAATTGGTTTTGCTTACATATTACTCAAGGCACATCTAATGTCAAGGGAATGTCCCTAGACCCAACCATATGTTACAAAGAAATATCGAGAACTGTGGACAATCAGCTAGAGCCCAATGCACTAGCAAAACTGATTCAAAATAGAAGAAATCAGCTATATTAAAATTATCTTAAGAATGAGCCTGAATAATATCTTAAACTTGCTCTAATAACAACCCAAGCACAGTGGGCCAAAGTGGCGATACGTAAAACCATGAGGCTGATGGCGATACGTAACAAGCCAAAGCGGACAATATCTGCTAGCGGTGTGCTTGGGTTGTTACAAATGCTATCAGAGTCGGGCACAGGGCGGTGTGCCAGCGAGGACGCTAGCCTCCAAGGGGATTGGATTGTGAGATGCCGCGTCGGTTTAAGAGGGGAACGAAACATTTCTTCTAAGGGTGTGGAAACCTCTCCCTAGTAGACGTGTTTTAAAACTGTGAAGCTGACAACAATACATAACGAGTCAAAGTGGACGATATCTGCTAGCAATGAGTTTGGGCGGTTACCTGCTATGACAAAAAAACAATAGGGAATGCGTATTGAGAAAAGTAGTTAGGAATCTTGTAGACCATCCTGAAGCAGGCTGCCGGAAGTAAGGGTCGTTAATGTTAGAAGAGGGCTTGAGAGTGATCTCGAGAGGGGAGGGTCCAAGTACCTTGAAACACTTGGTTTACCTTGTAGATCATATCTTTTATATTTCGAAATTTGATCTTTTTAATAATTGCATGCTAATTGCTATTCCAGATTGAAAAGATTGTATTGTTTTTGTTGGAGCAACAAGGGCTACTTGCAAGGAGGTTATCTAGACTTGGTGAAGAACAAAATGGCCTTTCCCAACAGCTTACAGAAACAAAAGTTGATGAACTACAGGAACAATACAGAGCAGCTGGAGAAGATCTTCTGAGGCTTCTCGCTTTTGTGGAGATGAATGCAATTGGTCTACGCAAGATATTAAAGAAGTTCGATAAACGTTTTGGCTACAAGTTTACAGATTATTATGTCAAAACTCGTGCTAATCATCCTCATTCCCAACTGAAACAAGTTTTTAAGCAAGTGGTAACATGCCCAATTTTCTTTTCTTTCCATGTTCCTCTTGTAACATTCTGATATAGAGGTTTCTGGGAATTATAAGTCTCTTTGAGTTTCTTGAAGTGATAGTAATGATATGGTGCATCCAAGCATTGATAGCTTGAAGGTAATTGCTCAGGGTATAGTTGCTGTTGCTGGTGCCATATTTCGTAATCTTGCAGAGCTTGAAGATCATAAAGGGAGTTACATCTCAATATATGATCAACTTGACCTTTCACATAAGGTATTTTCTTACAGATCATTAGAAGGTTTATTATCATTTTGCTCAACTTATTTTTGTAATCATATTTCAGTAGGATGATCAATATCAAGGCTTAAAGAAGTTAATTATTTTGGGGAAATAGGCATCCGCTTCTATGATAACTTCTATGATAGAGATGTTGATAATTGTTGGGAGAGGAGTCCCGTCGGCTAATTAAGGGGATGATCATGGGTTTATAAGTAAGGAATACATCTCCATTGGTATGAAGCCTTTTGGGGAAACCAAAAGTAAAGCCATGAGAGCTTATGCTCAAATGGGAGAATATCATATCATCGTGGAGGTCCGTGGTTCTTAACATGGTATCGGAGTCATGCCCTTAACTTAGCCATGTCAATAGAATTCTCAAATGTTGAACAAAAAAGTTGTGAGCCTCAAAGGTGCAGTCAAAAGTGACTCGAGTTTCAAATAAAAGATGTACTTTGTTCGAGGGCTCCAGAGAAGGAGTCGAGCCTCGATTAAGGCTACTTTTTTTTTTCTCTTTCTAAGTGGAATTCTTCTCAATAAAGATTGATTATTTGCAGGCCCCTGTAATTGAATCCATCAAAGAAGCTCTAAAAAGATTATCAAACTCAACAAATTTTCTTCAATTCTTGGGAAAACATGCCATGCTTTTGGAAGATGGATTATCAGATACTCCTGAGAGCTACGTTGATGAAAGATATCATTTTATGTCACTTGTTCTGAACTTAGGAAACACATTTTTGTATATGGTAAATACATATATTATTGTCCCAACAGCTGACAACTACACCATGAGCCTGGGAGCTGCCGCTACTGTCTGTGGCATTGTGATTGGGGCAATGGCTGTGGCGCAGGTGTTTTCTTCTGTTTATTTCAGTTCTTGGTCAAACAGATCATACATGCAGCCACTTGTTTTTAGTAGCATCATTCTTGTTGTGGGAAACACATTGTATGCACTGGCATATGATCTCAAGTCAATCACTATTCTTCTCGTTGGCCGCCTTTTTTGTGGGTAGGTCACCGCAAATCAGGCATTTAAATTTTGTCACCGGTTGTTTTTTCTGAACTTTGGGGAATCTATTTTTTGGTATTCTAGGTTGGGTTCTGCAAGAGCAGTTAACAGGCGCTATATTACCGACTGTGTGCCATTAAAGTTACGAATGCAAGCTTCTGCTGGATTTGTTAGTGCAAGCGCGCTGGGAATGGCATGTGGTCCAGCTCTTGCTTGTTTTTTTCGAAGAAATTTCAAGATATCATCTATTACATTTAATGAGGACACTTTGCCTGGTTGGACCATGGCTCTTGCATGGCTCGTTTATCTCGTATGGTTGTGCATTTGTTTCAAAGAGCCTCCTTCGCTCATGCCATCGGAACCTAATACTGGTTTGTCAACTAAACTTCTCATTTAGCATATGGTTGTGCATATTGATGGATTAACTTGTTATACCATATTATTTAGCTGTTTAATTGGCATATTGATTTTATTAGAGGAATGAATTGTTCCTTTGATCTAGGGAAAACTGTAAAACTTATTTTGGAGAATGGTTGTACACGACCACTACTTTTAAACGAACATGCGAAGCAAGAATGTGCTGACCAAGAATGTGACGACGACGATGATGATGATGAAGGATCTTCTAAAAGAAATCGCAAACCAGTCGATTCAATAATATCAGCTTATAAGTTACTTACACCGTCTGTCAAGGTCTAGTACATTCTTACCCTTCTTACTTTGATGCAATTTTCATTTGAGTTTTTAATCTTTGATAAAGTACGCGTGTGAAGTGGTGAGCTCTGATCATAGTAGTTGCAATATCATTGTTTTATTAGAATCTTCTTTTTGTATTTTATGTTTTGGAGGGTGGGAAAAGGAAACATTCTTTAAAGGGGGTGGAACCTCTCCCTAGTAGACATGTTTACAAAACCTTGAGGGGAAGCCCAAATAAGACAATATCGGCTAGCGGTAGAATTGAGCTATTACAAATGGTATCAGAGCCAGACACCAGGCAATATGTCAGTGAGGACGCTGGGTCCCGAAGGGAGGGTGGATTGTGATACCCCACATCGATTAGAGAGAAGAACGAGTGCCAGCGAGAACGTTGGGTCTTGATAGGGGGGTGGATTGTGAGATCCCACATCGATTGGAGAGTGGAACGAGTGCCAGCGAGGACACTGGGTCCTGAACAAGGATGAGTTGTGAGATGTCACATTGGTTGGAGAGGAGAATGAAATATGCTTTATTAGGGTGTGGAAATCTCTCCTTAACAGCTGCGTTTTAAAAACCTTGCGGGAAGTTCAAAAGTTTGCCCATAGAGGACATCTATATCTACTAGTGATGGACTTGGCTGTTACACTTTCTAATATTTGATTTATTGTATCCAAGGACCATATGAAAAATGACTTTATATAAGAATGTTCTAGACCTATGAGCGCTATGAAACCATTATATGGGTATCAAGTCAGTTCAAATGTTTGAGCTAAAATGATTACATACGATACTAAAATTTTGATGAACACGGTGTTGTGTGCCCTTAGGTGCAACTATTTGTATATTTTATGCTCAAATATGCAATGGAGATTGTACTTGCCGAATCAAGTGTAATCACTGGCTACTACTTTGTCTGGTCGACCACCAATGTTGCAGTCTTTCTCGCATGCCTTGGCTTGACAGTGCTCCCTGTAAACATCATTGTTGGGAGCTACCTCAGTAACTTATTTGAAGAAAGGTACCCCAAAACTTGAATTTACTTTACTTTACTTTACCTTACCTTGTTATTTACTGTTCTTTGATCTGATTAAAAGATTAAAAGTTTCATAAGTTAGTGTGATTTTGTTGTAGGCAACTTCTTCTTGCATCTGAAATTATGGTTTGCGTAGGCATAATTTTAAGCTTCCATACTTCGATTCCTTACTCAGTACCTCAATATGTGTGCTCAGCTCTAATCACCTTTGTTTCTGCTGAAATCCTTGAAGGTAATAATGTAGTCTCTTAAATCATCAAATTGTCAGAACAATGGTTCTAAGTGTTCAACCGATGCAGGTGTAAACTTGTCACTTCTCTCTCGAGTTATGTCGTCAAGACTTTCGCGTGGGACTTTTAATGGTGGCCTACTTTCCACCGAAGCTGGAACTATAGCTCGAGTCATCGCTGATGGCACGATAACGTTGTCGGGGTACTTTAGTGAAAGTAAGCTCTTGAATGTTACCTTAATTCCTTCACTTATTATTTGTGTATATGCCATTGTAGCAACATGTTTTACCTACAACTCTCTTTACTAATTTTCTTTTTTTATTATTAGTTATGAAAAGTTGTACAAAATAATACTGCGATGTACTATAAAAATAGCAGTGGATTATAAACATAAGGCAATTTATATTATTACTTTTGTAAATAATTTGATCAAATGAAACAAAAAAAAGGTTTTTATTTTTTATTTTTAAAATATAAATTAAAATATTTAATTCGGTGTATCTTTTCATACTCACACACATCTTTATTATTAGATTATGTCGTATAGCATACATGATCGACCCTTCTTAAATATTTTAAGAGCAAAATAAGAAAAAAATATCGAACTATTTGTAACACAATAGACATTATATATTTTTTATTCTCAAAACTTAAATGTTTCCTATCGGAAAATGGTTATTTTTTAAGAAACTTTAAGTTCCTAAGATTTTTTTTTTCTTTCCCTTTCGTATATTAAGCTTGACAATTTGTGTCTCATCTGCATCAATTACTTCTATTAAATAAAAATTATACCTAATTTATGAAAATCTTCTTCGTATCACTCAAGTATGACCTTTTTCCACATAGACCTATAATTTAGATTAGACCAAAAAAAAAAAAAAAAAAAAAAAAAAAAAAAAAAAAAAAAAAAAAAAAAAAGAAAAATTGCGAGACAAAATCTAATTTTCATTTCCTATAAAGATAGTCGGCTTTTATTTAGGAATTGCACTATATTAGCAAACAAAGAGTTAGGTAATGGGCTTGTTTCTCTCGAATCCGACTCCAAACTCCTCGTGTATGTTCTTTTCTTGATAAAGAGGCGACCTTTGAAGATCGCCCACTTGATTCCTTTGCTTCCGATTCCCAAATCCGTGATTACATTGGAAGCCCGCTTCAGTCTCTCTTCTACAGAGAGAGAAGAGAGATAATTTTGGGGGCAACAAAAATGGCAGAAGAATTACTTGAAGGTACGGTTCAGAATCTACTGGATCAAGAGACTCTAAAATGGGTTTTTGTTGGCGGCAAAGGCGGTGTGGGAAAAACCACCTGCAGCTCCATCCTTTCGATTCTTCTCTCCCGTGTCAGATCCTCTGTTTTGATTATCTCCACCGACCCCGCTCACAATCTCAGCGATGCCTTTCAGCAGAGATTCACCAAGGCTCCCACCTTGGTTAATGGATTCTCCAATCTCTATGCTATGGTCTGTCCTTTTTCTCTTGCTTCCCCTTCTTTTGATTTTTGCTTCGGTTTGAATCTTGATGTGCTTATGAATTTGATTTGATATTGATTTCTTTATTCGAGGGTTTTGCAAGTTTTGTGGATAATTTGGTGGCAAGAAATGCTTAAAATCATGTCTGTATGCTATTGTTCTTGCTGCTTTCCTGCTGTACGCGTGTTTTTCGATTATTGTTGATGAGTTTATGCGCTTCATACTCTGGGCAATGCTACTGGTATGTAGGAAGTGGATCCTACTGTGGAAAATGAAGAAGTCGGCGAGGGGATGGATGGCTTATTTTCCGAGCTAGCTAATGCTATTCCTGGAATTGATGAGGCAATGAGCTTTGCAGAGATGCTGAAGTAAGAAACATTTTCTTGTTCTTTCAAACATCAATTTATGATCCATACAATCTTGATATATAATGTACGATTTTCAAATGAAGTTTAGATGACAGTTCTAGAACTGTAAGTTTGAGTACTGGTATTGGTTTTGTCTGAAATGTTTATGTTGTTCTAAGTCATCATCTACCACTGCTGGGACTTGGAAAGTGGCAAAATTAGTCCTCACTGATCACTTGTCATGACTAAACTTCCATTGGTTGATACTTGGAGGGTTGGGTGGGGCTGGGAGCTCTTTATAATCATGTCAATTCATTTAACATTGCCATGTTTAATGAATTGTTTATTTCCAGATTAGTACAAACAATGGATTATTCTGTAATTGTGTTCGACACTGCTCCAACTGGCCACACTCTTCGGCTGTTGCAATTTCCATCAACCTTAGAGAAGGGACTTTCAAAGATAATGTCTTTAAAAAGTAGATTTGGAGGTGTATTGAGTCAGGTATCAGTTCTAATTTGATAACAACGATTCTATTATTATCATTATTCGACATGAGCGTTTGATTTTTCGTTAATTTTTTTTCAAGAAGTCGAAGCATTTGCTGTATTAGTTTCATTTGTGCAATTTCAGTAATTAGCTAACCTGAAACTTTCTGCAACAGGTGACCCGAATGTTTGGAGTTGATGATGAGTTTGGTGAGGACGCAATTCTGGGAAGGCTGGAAGGAATGAGAGATGTGATCGAACAAGTTAATAGGCAATTCAAAGATCCTGTAAGAGTGCTCGTTTTCTACTCGTTTGTTATTATTATTATTCTTGTTTTATTGCCTACTAGCATTTTTCTAACCATTAACAAGTATTAGAAGAAGTGGTAGAAGTCTTATGTAATAGAAGTCCAAAATTATTGTAGAACAGGTAAAACTTCTGAAATGGACAAAAGTGCAGTTAAACTATAGAGCTTAAAAATGGTTAGGTCCACCAGAAACACTATGGATGGGATACTTTAGGTTCTTTTAAGGGTTAGGTCCCATGAACTTGTGGGGTTCCATTCACCAGGATAACATGCCATTCTCATAAATAACCAAAAAACTTCCTCATCCTAGGAACAAAATTCTCCATCGTTGACATTGACCAAGAATCGGACGATGAATATGCATCTAGCCCCCTACCTCTCTCCACCACCCCACCATCCCCCATTGCGAATAAGGCCAACATCTCTCACCCATTGCTAGAGATCACTCTTGCGGATACAGAGCTTGACACTCTTTTTCAAGAAAAGTAGAATGAACAGAGGTAGGAAGGGTCACCCCGATATTAGAAACACTCACACCAATAATGGCCATCCAAATCTTGGCACCATGGCTAAAAGAACACCAAATGTGCATCATGGCTATTCCATCTGGGAAAAAGAAGCCCACTATGGCCAAGAAATCGAGTAAACTAACTAGAGAGATTGACCAAAGGCCCAACTTTGGTCATGGCTATTCCATCTGGGGATCTAAATCATGTGGAATGACCAACTTTGATATGAACTTTGATCATTTCAGAAGTCACCAAAAACTTATATACCTTAACCACACATATTACACTGGGGGATCTAAATCATGTGGAATGATCCAACTTTGATCATTTCAAAAGTCACCAAAGGCTTATACACCTTAACCACACATATTACACTGACTGATAATTACAGATTTTGGATTATAGGAATCTATGGTCCCTGTAGATATTAAGAAAGACATCTATTCTGGCAAGAATTACAGGACCTATCATGCCTATGTATAGAGAATTGGCTTTTGGCGGGTGACTTCAATATCTCTCGATGGGCACATGAAAAATCTAGTGGAAAAGTTCAGAGGCATGAGACAATTCAACAATTTCATTAGAGAAGATGACCTAATCGACCTTCCCCTCAATAATGGACTCTATACATGGTCAAACAACATATTTTCACCCACCTTGACACTCGTCGATAGATTCCTTGCCACAAAAGGCCTACTTAGAAAATTTAGTAACGTCAGTGTTCAAAGACTGAATAGACCTACATCTAATTATTATCCCATTCTACTTTCCATGGGTTGCTCTAAATGGGGCCTTTCGCCCTTCCGATTCGAGAATATATGGTTTAACCATTCTGAATTTTTGCAAATGGTAGAATACAGGTGGAAGAATACGCCCCTCTGTGGATGGTTGGGGCATGATTTCATCAACAAACTTAAAAGACTAAAAGAAGTCTTAAAGAAATGGAACAAGGAGGAATTGTATTTCCACAAAAAGAAACCAACTACTAATTGAAATTACTCTCCTCGATTAGATGGAAGAAATTGGCTCAATTACACTAGTCCAACACATACGGAAAAAAAAAGAAAAAAAGAAAAAAAGAAAAGAAAAATTCATGAAAGCAGAACTTATTACGTTGGCAGCAAAGGAAGAGCACTCTTGGAGACAAAAATGTAAAATGATGGTTAGAGGAGGGTGACACAAACTCCAAATTTTTTCATCATATCATGGCTACAAAGAAACGAAATGAAAGAGTACCATCATGGAAATTCTATCCACACAAGGCAGAAGTTCAATAAACGAAGAAGAAATTGTCTTAGAATTTTTGTCCTTTTCACGTCCTTATATATAAAGGACAATGCCCTCCGCAAATTTCTCCACGATCTTGACTGGAGTCCTATTGATCAATAGCAAGCTACTTCTCTCGAGGTTACTTTCACTGAAGAAGAGGTGGGAAGACGATTCAGCCTTTGGGCTCCAACAAAACTCTAGGATCGAATTATTTTACCTCTGATTTTTTTTTTTTTTTTAAATGTTGAAACTTTATAAGAGCGGATATCATGAGAGTATTCCAAGATTTGTCTTTGAAACGTAGTTATCCTGAACGAAACATACATATGTCTGATCTTAAAGAGATTAGATGCTCGCATTGTTGCAGGCTTTTGTCCCATAAGTCTCACAACCGGACTATATAAAATTGTAGCAAGGGTATTATCATAATGTCGTAAAAAGGTTCTTCCCTTCACTATAATTGGGCAACAAACAACTTTTGTAGAGGGGAGACATATTCTCGATGCATTCCCCATGGCAAACGAACTCAGAGATGAATGAGAAAGAAAAAAACAAAAAGGTGTAGTCATTAAACTTGACATGGAAAAGACTTTCGACAAGGTTGGCTGGACTTTCCTCGAAAACATTTTGTGGCAAAAGGCTTTGGCTCAAAATGGCGAAGGTGGATAAAATGATGCATCTCATCCACAAACTTCTCCATCACATCAATGGAAGACTAAAAGGGAAGATTTTTGCCACCCAGGGTCCGAGACAAGGCGATCCATTGTCCCTTTTTCTTTTCATCATGGTAATGGATTGTCTCAGTTGCCTATGGACAAAAGCGAAAAGCAGAATACGAAGGATAGATAAAAGGATTTCAGATTGGTAATGAAGGTTTAAGCATCAGTCACCTTCAGTTCGCGGACGACACAATTCTCTTTTCTAACTTGGCTTCTTCCATAAAAAAACATGATTGTGGTAAAAACCTTCGAAGGATTCTCTGGACAAAATATCCATCTCCAAAAAACAGAGATCATAGGCATCAATATTAGCACAAAGATTATTGAAGAATTTGCTAGCGTATATGGTTGTAAAAAGGGAGAATGGTCGAATATTTACCTAGGACTACCTCTAAAAGAAAACCACAAATCTTTTTCTTTCTGGAAGGTTATTATTGAAAAATTAGAAAGATGGTTGTCAACATGGTCATCATGTTTTACTTCTAAAGGCGGAAGACTCACCCTCATATAGTCACATTATCCAACCTCCCCAATTACTACATGTCTCTATTTGAAATGCCACAAAAAGTGGTCGCAGATATAGAAAGATTATTCAGAAACTACTTATGGAAAGATGACTCACGCCTTATTCAATGGAATATTATAAACCTCCCAATAAAAAAGGGAGCCCTCGATTTTCTCTCGATAAAGAAGAAGAACGAAGTTCTCTTCGCCAAATGGTTATGGAGATATCATCACGAAGAAAAGGCCTTGTGGAGAAATCTTATAAAGGCCAAATATACTCCTCCATCAAACAAAAATCAACCCCTCCATCTGTTAAAGATCACGTATTTGTTTAGATTGCTGTCAGTTAGTATCTAATTAAATCTCCGCTAGGAGTTAGATTTGTTTTGATTTGATTTACTTTTGATTTGATTAGATTTTGTTTAAATTTGATTTGTTTACTGGTTTGTTACCATATTTTCTACCGATTTTTAGGTAGATTTTCTAAATATCTTTTTGTATTCTCTCTAGATATAGAGAGCATTCTTGCTCTCAGTAATTCAATCTTCTCATCAATCATTCAATCCCTCATTCTTTCACTAACAATTGCTATCAGAGCTATCTTCTTAAGGGATTTGTGAGATCAAAATGGAAGGAGAATCCAGTTTTTCAGTTGTTGCACACCCGTCTTTGATGGAGACAATTATCAAATGTGGGCAGTTCGTTTGGAGACTTATTTGGAGGCTTTGGATCTTTGGGAAGCAATAGAAGAGGATTACGAGGTCCCTCCGCTTCCAGCAAATTCTACTGTAGCACAAATCAAAGTACAGAAGAAAAAGAAGACAAGAAAATCAAAGGCAAAAGCTTGCCTATTTGCCGCTGTATCTAAAATGATCTTCATGCGAATAATGTCCCTCAAAACAACAAAAGAAATCTGGGATTATCTATGAAGGAGATGAGAGGATTCGTGGAATGAAAGTCCTAAATTTGATTAGGGATTTCGAGTTGCAGAAGATGAAGGAGTTAGAGTCGGTGAAAGAGTACTCCGACAGACTTCTCAGCATCACCAACAAGGTGAGATTGCTTGGTTCTGTATTAAATGATTCCAGGATCGTTGAAAAGCTGCTAGTCACTGTTCCAGAGAAGTTTGAAGCCACTATTACTACTCTGGAGAACACCAAAGACCTGTCAAAGATTTCTCTTACAGAAGTCTTGAATGCTTTACAAGCACAAGAGCAAAGGAGGTCTATGAGGCAAGAAGGGGTGATTGAAGGTGCCTTACTTGTTAAGCATCAAGACAACAACAGGTATAAAAACAATAAAAATTTCAAAAATCAATTAACGTATGGAGATTCATCTGTCAATTATCAGAAGATAAAAGGAGGAGGTTTCAAAAAATCCTATCCACCTTGCCGCCATTGTGAGAAGAAAGGTCATCCACCATACAAGTGTTGGAGAAGACCTGACGCCTTCTGCTCCAAATGCAATCAACTTGGACATGAAGCTGTGATTTGCAAAGCCAAAGATCAGGTGAAAGAAGTAGATGCACAGGGAGTTGACCAAGAAGAAGAAGAAGATCAATTGTTTATGGTCACTTCTTCCTCAGGCAAAGAATTAAGCGAGAGCTGGTTGATTGACAGTGGGTGCACAAATCACGACATATGACAAGGAGTCTTCTGAGGAATTAAGAGAGTGAGGATTGACAATGGTGAACACTTGGAAGTCAAGGGAAAAGGCACCGTAGCTATAACAAGTTATGAAGGTACAAAATTTATTCCAGATGTTTTATTTGTACCTAAAATTGATCAAAATCTCTCAAGCGTTGGTCAGCTACTTGATAAAGGCTATAAAGTGTTGTTTGAGAATAAGCAGTGCTTGATCAAAGATGCTAGTGGCAAAGACTTGTTCAATGTCAAAATGAAAGGAAAAAACTTTGTTCTAAATCCGACGGCCTTTATATCCAGAGTTAGTGCCACTGAGATTTAGCACAAAAGACTTAGACACTCTCATCATCGAGGTTTGTTTCAGATGTAGTCAAAGAAGCTGGTAGAAGGACTCACTGACATTGATGATGACATGTCTCCTTGCCGTGCTTGTAATTTTGGGAAGCAACATAGGCAACCCTTTCCTAAACAGGCATGGAGAGCCTTGAAAAAACTGTAGCTGGTTCATACTGAGCTTTGTGGTCCTCAGCGAACACCATCATTAAATGGTAATCTTTATTACATTGCTTTTATTAATGATCTAACAAGAATGGGTTGGATATTCTTGCTGAAGCAAAAGTCGGAAGTTGCGGGTGTATTTTGGAAATTCAAAGCCAAAGTTGAGAATGGAGATGCATGCTTGATTCAGACTATAAGATCAGATAATAGCAAGGAGTACACTTTAGAAACTTTTAACGGGTTTTGTGAAGAGGCTGGAATTGAACATCAATGGACAGCACCATACACTCCTTAACAGAATGACGTCAGTGAAAGGAGGAATAGATTCATAATGAAGATGATGAGATGCATGCTTCTTCCAAAACATTTTTGGGGAAAAGCAGCAAACACTGTTGTGTGCTTGCAAAATCGAATTTCAACAAAAGCTGTGAAGGACCTAACACCATTTGAAGTTTGGTATGGTTACAAACCTTCTTTAAAGTTCTTTAGAGTATTTGGCTGTCTTTGCTTCACTTACATTCCATAGGTCAAGCGTGATAAGCTTGACAAAAAGTCAAAAGTTGGCATCTTTGTTGGGTATAGCACTATATCTAAAGCTTACAGAGTTTTTCAACACACACTAGTCGTGCTATTGTGAGTCGAGATGTTCATTTTGCTGGAAATAAGCAATGAAATTGGGAAGAATTAACGAAGGTGAATTAGATTTCTAATGCACAAAACAATTTAATCTTTGATAGCATGTTAGAAGAGTCTGAAGATGAACGACAATATGCTTTGGTTGATGATGCACCTGCCCAAGGAGGAGCTTTCCGTGATCGAGAAAAACAAAATTTGGGAGTTGGTTGATCGATCTCTAAACAGAAAGATAATTGGAGCAAGATGGGTGTTCAGAAAAAAGCTTGGAGTTCACAACATCCAAACAAGGAGTATTAAAGATCACTTATTTGTATAGATTGTTGTCAGCTAGTATCTAATTAAATCTCCGTTAGGAGTTAGATTTGATTTACTTTTGATTTGATTAAATTTTGTTTAGATTTGATTTGTTTACTGTTTTGTTACCCGATTTTCTACAGATTTTTAGGTAGATTTTCTAAATATCTTTTTGTATTCTCTCTATCTATAGAGAGCATTCTTGCTCTTAATCTTCTCATCAATCATTCAATCTCTCATTTTTTCACTAACACCATCTTCTACAAAAGGGCTTTCGATTAAAACCACATCAACTACCGAACTTGCCATAGGGTGGGTGATAGAGGAAGCACATCATTTTGGACCGACCCATGGGTTGAAAACACCAGGATAGCCCTGAGGTATCCACTTTTGTACAAACTCTCTCATAGGAAAATAGCCACGATCAAAGAAATGTGGAATGGTGTCAACAAATTCCAGGATCTGAAGCTTAGTAGGAATTTAAAGGATAATGAAGCAACATAATAGGATGAATTATGCCTTGACCTTGCCCATGTGGATTGTCAAACAAAGCAGACTCATTGACTTGGCTCCCCTATGCTGATGGGGTCTTTTCTACAAAATCTTTGATGATGGACATGGTGGAAAAAGTAGAAGCTCTAAATCCCACGCTAGCAAAGACAGTATGGAAATGACATTAGCCTAAAAAGGTTAAGTTCTTCCTTTAGGAAATAGCACGTAAAACCATTAGCACAAGTGAAAATCTTCAAAAAAGAATGCCTTACATCACTCTTTCTCCAAATTGGTGCATTATGCAAGAAAGAAAACGAATCACAAAGCCACTTGTTTATGCAATATGCACATACGCTCATAATTTTTGGACAACGATTTTCAATACATTTAGATGATATCTCACATTTCCTAGGGAGGTAAGCGATCTATTGGATATGGTCTTAACGTACTACCCTTTCAAGAATGCAAAATGTCTACTATGGAAAAACCTCATCATGACTTTCTTTTGGAATCTGTGAAAAGAAAGAAATCAGGGAATATTTACGAAAAAGACACAGATCTATGTAGAACTTTTTGACAAGCTTGTTTACCAAGCTATATCTTTGGGTAAACGGTCTAATATTTTTACTTCCTATATTATACGTCATATCTCCCTCCTTGCAATGGGGAGTCCTTACGAAAAAAAATATTGAACTAAACTTCAATGTTATCCGACATCTTACATCTGTTAGGTGTACTTATGTATCTGTTTGGTTAGTGTTGGGACTCTTTTGTGGGCTGTTTTTACCCTTTTATATATTTTTTTTCTTTTTCTAAAGCTTGGTTTTTTACCCAACAATTCTCTGTTTTCAGGATTTGACTACATTTGTGTGTGTCTGCATTCCTGAGTTTCTCTCTCTTTACGAAACAGAGAGACTAGTTCAAGAACTCACCAAGTTTGAGATCGATACTCACAATATTATCATTAACCAAGTAATTTACAATGACGAAGGTACGACAGTTAACTGAATCCATACACATATATTCTCTAAAGTGATTTGGATCTTCCCTGTTTCTTAACCATATGTATGTGCTCTGCCGTTTTAGATGTTGAATCCAAGTTGCTGAAAGCGAGAATGCGAATGCAACAGAAGTATCTCGACCAATTTTACATGTTATATGATGACTTCCACATCACCAAGTTGCCATTATTGCCTCAAGAGGTACTGCTTTCTCTGCACATATTTGTCTCAATATATCGAGATTCATTCTGTTTTCTTTTATCATCTAGTCCATAAATGCTTTTTCCTTCACGTCTGCCATTGCTTTTTCCTTCAAGGCGCTTGAAGCTGTTCAAGAATAGTCTTCAAGATCTATTAGAACAAATATTTCATTCTCTCCTATATATAATTATTGAAGTTTGGTAGACCTTGAAAGGAGAAGGAAGGTAGAAATGGCAATAGGTGCCTTTTTTTTAATTCACCCGATCCTATGTTTTATAGTAGTGAGTACCGATTTGTTGTACAGTCTGAGACAAGTTGCTAATTCTAAATACATATCATGTTCTGTTATATCAATCTTATTTTTAGTTAGTTTGAACATAACTTAGTGGATAAAACACCTTAAGTTGAAGATGTGAGAGCTTTGTGATTTGAAAACAGAAACAGGCAAAAGGAAAAGATTGGGAAGAGCTTTGATCAAACTTATTGTGCATTGTATTGCAGGTGACTGGGGTTGAAGCTCTGAAGGACTTTTCAGGTAATTTTGTGAGCCCATATGAACCAGCGACTAGCAGAGACTCGGTGGAAGACTTGGAGAGGAAAATATCAACGTTGAAACAGCAGTTGAACGATGCTGAAGCTGAGCTTGATAGAATTAGAAAAGGGAAGCAAAAGGCCTAAAAACAATACCCTTTCTTTTCCCCAACTCCCTATTTTCTTTGCTTTTGTTTTTCCTTATTACTTAAGAATTTCTTCTTGGAGATTATAATACCGAAAGTGTTTTATTAGAACAAATGCTGCTGCGTAGACTTGGGAGGACCATTTTTACTGTATCGATTTTCTGGTCAATATAGTTCATTCATTATTCCATTTTTTTTCGTTCTATTTTCATTACGAAAGATGAACTCTGCATCAAGTAATATATTGCAAGTCTGAACATTTATTTAATTATTTGTTCTTAAAAATAAAATTAGTTATAGTGACAGTTGATTTACCAAATCATATTTTAAAAATATAATATTTTTGCTATTGAAAATCAGTCACCGATTCAATGCTTCAACCTTAAAGAAAACTTTATGGTTGTCTCAATATATTTCTGTTTCTGTGTCGACATGTTGAAAAGAAATATTTAAAATACCTTTTCGAACTTTTTATACAACAGAACATGAACATGAATTGAAATGCCTATGAATATCCTTTCTTCTACTTTATTCAGTCATTGAACATGAACATCCACCCCAACAGGATGATTTCACAAGCCTCAGAGTTTGTATAGTTTATAGGATAACAAACAATACGTATTTTTAAGGTTAAAATGCCATATTATCTCAGACAACAATTACGTAGCTACAAGCGGGACAAGCCATATTCCTTACTGAGTTAGCCTCCATGCAGGGTGGATATGAACACCACCACGTCTTTCTCTTCCAATGGTGTATCAAGCTGCCCACTCAGCTCCCAATCACAATCATTTACAAGCACCAGAACACCAGGTCTTCTGCAGGAACCACATTTGAAACCATCACAATTCTTCACCCACTTTCACGTTCATCCTCTCATTCACAATCTTTGAAAAAGAAAATTGATAAACTAATGAGATGTTTCTTTTACAACTTACACAGTGTCGCCTTTCATAAACATTTCTGGCCTCTCCTTGATCAGATTACTTCGGACCCAAGAGAGCAAATCTTTCATAATTAACTGAGAACCGTTTTAAAAGAAACATTAGACTTGCTTGATAAACAGAGGAATGAAGCACGAAAATATGAATCTGATATTGACTCGATCTTTCATTAAATTGTTGAAAAATTTTAATTTACCGTTCCCGCTCCATTTTCAGGATCAACGCTGACATCGTGGATCTTCACAGAGTCACATAGTAACTCCAATCCCCCACTGCATGTAATAGTTAATATTACTGTCATGTTTAACATATAAACACTAGCTGAAAAATTAAAGCCTAAAGAATGACATACTACATTGATATCTTTTCCGTTCCACCTTTTACATTCATAAAAGACACAATAAAAATGCAACCTAGAAGCATATGGAAGGATAATTTCTAATATTGCAGACAATAGGCTATTAAAGATCCTGCCACATTATTTATTTTCCTTCTCTTTTGGTTTTGGTGGGGATGAGGAAATAGAGGGTACTGATGGAGTCAAAATCTGCAATCACTGTAAACAACACACTGATGAATTGTTGAAACAATATATGCAATTATAAATGGTACAATCCAGCCAAAAAGTTCCACTGAACACATAAAAGTTGAATATGATAAAGAACAGGTTATCGATTTCCAATGTATATATAATCTAACGAAAGAACGGAGTGTAATTTACAAACTGGCATATGCTTAAAAAACAATGGTAATCGAACGAACAAAACCAGAATGAAAACAATATGGAGGCAGTGAAGCAACTGGATATTCAAGCAAAACTATAGTTTTGGCCCCAATATCCCGAAGAATAGGTGCAAATTTTGAATGATTGACAACTAAACACAAACAATTATATCCAATAGTCGATCTTTTCTTCCCTTCAGCCAGCCCAAGAGAAATATTCCCCAACATCAGTATCACGATACCTCATTAATACACAGAATTCACGAACTCAAGAGTTTGCTCAAATTCAGAAAACAATCGATCTTTATGGATAGACAACGACACAGAAATTCAAGTTTATAAGCTGCGAAAAAACATAAAAACACGATCGAACAAGATATTTCTTCTGATTTCCAACTTTCCCAGAAACAGAAGGAATTGAAACTCTGTGTTCCAGGATCAGAAATTTTTCCCCTGTATCTCTCTAAACAAACTGGGGAATTTTCCTTCCAAGTAAAATTTGAGAAAGAGAGAGAGAGAGAGAATTACCCAAATTCAAGTGTGAGTTGCATTCTCAATTTGCTTCCGCGGAACCCTAAAATAAAACCCTAGAGAGAAGACAAAGATCAGATCCTTAATGGGGGAATTTTAGAAGTAACTTCAGTCTCACCGTATGATACAAACTATTCAATTCGGGTTGAACCAAATTTTAGTTTCTATCTTCTGATTTTTTATTTTGAGTTTTTGGGATTTAGATCTTTTAAATACTCCTAAAAATATCTAATAAATTATTAATCTTTAATACATTATTAAAATATTTGATATTTTTTAAAAAAACTAGTACATTATAGACGTATATATTTTTTAATTTAATTTGAGTCCAAATTTTCACTACAAAATTTCAATTTTCATCAAATTTGATCACAAACGCGAACAAATATTGCAATTTTTATAATACTCTAATCATCATTGGAACTACACTCACGAATATTTTAGATTCTTGCACCAATAGATAAAGGATATGATCTTTTTATTTGTTCGTAATGATATTGACGTTTGGTTTTAGTTCGTGTTTCTCTCTCCATCCAGATGCAGCCAAGTTTGTAAGGCAGTATGGAGGGTTTTCCAGATTGGCTGCTGTAATTGGGGTTCTGCAAAATTCCGGTTTCCCCTTCCCATAAATCCCAATTTGGTTCCTCCTTCTCTTCGCCCTTTTTCTCCTACAATTTCTCCCTTCATCAGCTACCTTTTCGTTTCTAGTTTCCTGAAAAGTTCTCGAGCAGGATCCCCCTTTTTGAATGACCGTACCGTTGTGTTCTTAGACCCAATTTTTCTTTCGGCTGGCTATGAGGGGGTTTTCTCCTTGTTGCATCTTAGGGTTTTAGTTTGTACCAGGTTCTTGGACGATTCGAGTGTTTCTTTCTTTTCTTGCCGCTGCGTTGTGATTCTTTCAAGTCATGGAAGCTTACAAGAAGTGGGCTAGGGACAACAGAGACTACCTTCACTCTTTTGAGTCTCTTGCAAATGTGAGCACTATAGATTTCTTATCATTACCCGCTGGTTTCTCTATTTGATTTCATCTGGGAATTGATTTGGTTGACTTGTTTGTTCTTTAATCTGTACGTGAACGGTGTTGACCTTGGCTTTTATGGCATTCTCTATTAAGTAATATTAGCATCTTTTTGCTAGTAGTTTATTTAAAGAATGGCTTTATGTTTCCACAGTTTATTTTCTGCAAATTTAAGATGACATGAATGTCATGATGTTGATTTGATTTTTAAAAGAATAAGAGATATAGACAACAGATGGTATCCATATGTCTGATAGCAATGAGCATGAAGAGACCATTAAGTCAATTTATTCCTTGAAAATGAAGATGGTTATACTATGATCATTTTTTGTGAGTTTTGAATGTAAAACACTAGTCGATTGCCTGGCATTTTTATTGAAATCAGTTTGGGTAAACTGCACCTAAGTGCGTTTAATGTTATTAACATGTTCATTCTACATGATTATGTTCCTGTATGAGAGTACCCGCAAACTTTCTTTTAAAGCATGAAACATATCGTCATTTGGTTATATGGATCTTATTATATTTTGGATGTTTTTGATGGTCTGTGTATTGTTTAGGTTTTGAAATTGTAACCGCCTTAACCTGATATGACGATATTTCTGGTTATATGGAACAATACCGCTTTTGGGCTTTCCCTTCTGGGTTTTCCTTCAATGGTCTGTGTATTCTTTATCGTCATTTTTTATAAGGGTGTGAAAACTTCTCGCTAACATATGTGTTTTAAAACCTTGAAGGAAAACCCAGAAGGGAAAGCTTAAAAGGACAATATCTGTTGGCGGTGGGCTTGGGCTTGGGCTGTTATAGAAATATAAAATACCAAACTATTTGCATGTTGGTGATGAGCCTTTTTCACTGTTTGATCACAAGCAATTGTAACCCCTTGTAATAGATCTTTTACTGCTTGCTTGGTTTTGGCCTCATTATAATGCGGAACAACCCATTCAAATTACCTTACAATGAGAGAAATATAGTAGATTGGCTGAAAAGTTGAACCACCTTACTTTGTCATACATGTTTAATCGATATTATTAGTACATAATCTCCTCTAGAGGTTAATCTTACGGCAATTGTAGAACAATTTTTTTGCCATTTGAAAGTAGAACTGGGATGGTGGAATCTTGTTCAAGGATCATGGAAATATTAACGTTGGATGGGTTTCCATGTGCTAATTTGGTGCATGATGTATTTTGTCATCTCATGTTTGTTTGTCTTAAAACAGGTTAATTTCTCGATAGTTTTTGAAAATTGTGATGTTACCATGATTAAAGTCAACTGTTGGTAGATCTGAGAGTATAAGTTTGTGGATTTCTACCTTTTATATGGTTCTTAATACTATACAGGGCTTGACGTGGCTTCTTCCTGAACGATTTTCTGATTCAGAAATTGGACCTGAAGCAGGTTTTGTGAAACTTTGGTAACACTTGACTGCTTCTTCTGAGCTTGGAATTTGTAGTGCCCTTGGGTCCCCTTTGATGAATATGCATGTCTTTATATTTGTCTCACTTTCAAATGCTATAAATTTACAGTAGCCCATATCAAAAGCATTCTGATAGCCAGCAAGGTTTTCTTAAGTTATTCTGTTTTCATTTTTCAACTTAGGGGTTCGAACCTCGTAACTTTGGAAGCTATCTCCCTATGTTCCAAGTTTGTACCAACTAATGTTAAACTTTAACTGTTATTTTGTTGTTTACTGGCGTTGTCTTGTCAAATGAACACGTTCCTGCTTCTTCGTTCTAAAGTTTTGCTTTGCTCTGAGTGGATGATTTGCAACTTTGAAGCTATTATTAATTAGTTTAGGGATTTCTGCAGTTTCTGCCGCTGTTGGCATTGTCACTGCAGTCAATGAACACATAATCGAAACAGCTCCAACCCAGATGCATGTAAACGCAACTGTGCCATCTTCATTTCCTTATTCACTATGCATATCTGCTCTGAAAAACTTGGAAACATTGATTGAAGTTGCTGCACAACAATATTATGGTGATGATAAACGATGGAACTTCATTGCTGTTACGGAGGCTTTGAAGTAAGACACATTTGATGAGTGTGGGAGTGCCATTTTTTAATTTTCTTATACATTTTTATTGCATAGTCTCTGCCTTTACATTAGTAGCGTTGAATTTCAGGGTACTCTTTAGATTAGCTCTGTTCAAGAATTGTGGGTACAAGATCCTTCTTGATGGAGGAGAAACCATAAATAACGAAAGACATCTGAAAACTTCAACTTCTCAGCACAGACCGAATGCTTTCACAAAGCATGGTGGGCATAATGCATCTGGTTATTCAGGATATCTTAATGGACATGATCATTGGAATCTAGAAGGGAGGGCATTATCTGCATTAAGCAGGTTCGGGGAAAACGCTCGGATGATTTCACCACCAGCATGGTCGTACGGGGTTCAGCACCAGCACGGAATGTTCAATCCTTCAGGTGCCTATATCGATCCCAAGTTCCTAGAGTTTTGTTGGTAATGTCTACTGACAATTAATTGTGCCTTTACAGCTACAACGCCTGAGAGGCCTACACTTTCCACTATTTTGTCTGAACAGGGTCATCGCGGGGCTCTTTTCGTGACTGGAGAAGTACTTTTCATAACACGACCGCTTATTTACGTTCTTCTAATCCGCAAATATGGGAGTCGGTCGTGGACTCCTTGGTTTCTTTCACTGGCAGTGGACCTCCTTGGGACAAGCTTTTTATCATATGGTACCTCAGCTTCGACGAGTAGAAAAAACCAAAGATCATGCCTTTCCGACTCTGAGAAGGATGAGGTCGTGTTCTCTATAGTTCATCCTCCATGAATTTGTTGAGTCATTCTCATATTAACTTCAACATGTTTGACTTGGTTCAGCTGAGAAAACGGAAGATGCTTTGGGCATTTTACCTCATGAGAGACCCATTCTTTGAGAGATATACAAGGTGCATACATGCTTCAAGATTTAAACTTTTAGAGTCGAGAATTTCTCGACTTCAAACTTATAGTCTTGGATTGAAACTGTTTATGCTGAATGTTTTTTCAGGCGAAAACTTGAAGGGGCCGAAAAAGTTTTAGCACCTGTACCTTTTGTCGGATTCCTCACAGGTTCGAAGTGTATCCATTTGCGATAGTTATAGATTTAAGATTATGTGGATTATAGCTGATATTTAGTGTGTTGATGTGCAGCAAAAATTGTTGAGCTTATTATTGGAGCTCAGACAAGATATACTTACATGTCAGCATCATGAGATGAGAGGGAAATTGGAGTTTGAAGGGCCGCAAGTCTTCCCCTCCTGGTTTGTTGTTTCTACGCTTCATACAAATATTTGGTGACGTTTCCTTTTGCAATCAACTATTCTGAATAATAACAATAATAATAATAATATAGGTGGTGAAATAAAATGTGTTTTTATTTATTTCAAATAATTTTAATTCACAGGGCATATTTTTATTGTTGAAAGTAACGGTTTAATGATAAAAGATTGAATTAGACGGAGAAGGCAAAATGGAATTAAAACTCAATTATTATGAAGTCGTTGTATGTCAAGTCAGCGAAATTTAAAGGTGTCCACAAATCGATTTTTAAAAAACACGGTTAAATAATTAAAAAAAAGAAAGTAGGGCCCATTGGGCAAGGTCCCCATCTAGAAAAACCGACGTGGACCACACTTGCAGCACGTGGACCCCATTGCAAGGGGAGCAAGAGGGGCATGTCCATTGTATGTATTATAGGCGGGGCCCTTCAGTGTGATTAGTAGTGCTGGTGGGACCCACCACCCGGGAAGGGAAGGGAAGGGAAGGGGGCCCACTTTCTTTAGGCATTTTGGTTGGTTGGTTGGTAACTTGGTACGTGGTGGCCCATTGTCTGAAAAATACAGCCTATGTGAAGTCTTGGTGGTGTTCTAAATAGATTTTTTTTATTATTTTAGTTCTTTAATTGTTTTTGTACAATTAAAAAATTAAAAGACGTAGTGAAAATTGATAAAAGAGTATAGTGAATAGTAAGTTTTAGTAGTTAATGGTTAAAAAAGTAGTTATTGATTAGGCATAGTTAGAGTTTGTAAGAAGAAGATAATTATATAGGATAGGATATGGGTTTAGCTAGTGGGCTGGGGAGGATAGATATGGTTGACAAAGTGACGTATAGAGTAAGCTTGGTAGGGTGCGTCACATGAGAGTCATTCTTAGTGGGCTTTCCATCATCTAGGTTTGGATTTGGACTTTCAAAATTAATACCCAACTTTTAACCCTTTTTTTTATTAATATAACCCTATCTTATCTTAACTATTTACCATTCAACTCTAATATTCTGAAAAATATTAATTAATTAATTTATTATTATTTATTAGTATGTAGAGAAATAATGTACTCTCCGGAATTCATTCCATTAAGTTTGTTGCTACAAATATATACTATTGATTTGTTTATTCTCCAGAATTGATTCCCAAGGAATCCCTATCTCTATCCTGCAAATACATTAGGATGAGTCTATTTTTATCATACAAGGGCAGCATAGTAATTTTGTTTCTTGCTTATTCTTCTACCCATACAACCCAATGCAAACTAATGTGGGTATTTATAATATACTTGAATTTTTTTTCAAATATTCCTTATTTACTTTTAATTCTTTTCATTTTTCTGCCCAACCTTCTATTTTTATATTTGTTGTAGTAGAATTTTATATAACCTAATTTGGGAGATGTAATTTTGGAAATAAAATATATAAAACTGGCGATAGGTTATTAGAGAGAGAGGAGAGAGGAGAGAGGAGAGAGGAAGAAATAGGAATGGCAAGTTGGGAGTTATTGGAAGAAGAAAAGGGGGTGGGGGTAGGTCCATCATCCCCAGCTTTGACCCAACACTACTGGGCCCCACCCTTCTTTGTGGGTCCATTTCCTTTCCACCCCTCCCCCAACTCTTCCTTCTTCTCCCAATTTCTTCTTTTTCTTTCCTTAAATCCCCTCTCCCAACTTCTTCCTCTCCCCTCTCCCCCTCCCTCTCCGCTCATGGCCGATATTCACAAACAAGAACTCGACGACGACGAAGACGACGACCACCACCACTCTCCGCCCACCCATCTCTGTATCAATAACTCCGACTCCTCTCCAATGAACCTTCTTCCCCTTGCTCCCAAGCGGGAGCATCCCGACAACGACCACGAAACTCAGGTCCTCAAGTTCACGGCAGAGATACCTAAAACGGTCTCGTCTATCCCCCCCAAGAGACCCTCCACCAAGGATCGCCACACCAAGGTCGAGGGCCGAGGCCGGAGAATCCGAATTCCGGCTACCTGTGCGGCGCGTATCTTCCAGTTGACTCGTGAGCTCGGCCACAAGTCCGACGGCGAAACCATCCGCTGGCTTCTCGAACGGGCCGAGCCGGCGATCATCGCGGCTACTGGAACTGGTACCGTTCCCGCCATCGCCATGTCTGTTAATGGCACTCTCAAAATCCCCACCACCACTTCCTCTTCTAACCAAGATTCCACCGATCAATCCGCCAGTAAGAAGCGGCGTAAGCGCCCCACTAACAGTGACTATGTTGACGTAAATGACGCCGTTTCCGTTTCCGTTTCCGTCTCCGCCTCCGCCTCCGCCCCGAACGGCGCTGTTCAGGCCGCCACCGTTGCCGGTTCCCCCGCCGTCCAACAGCCTTTTCCACCGGGGTTTGTTCCAGTGTGGGCCATCCCATCGAACGCCATAATTCCCGGGGCGGTTTTCATGGTTCCATCCGTGGATTGCTCTTCCACCCGTCCGCAGTTTTTCTCATTCCCGACACCGGCAGCGCCGCTCATCAACACAACGGCCCGACCCATTTCCACCGTCCCGTCGAAGCTGCACACGTCTCACATTCAAGCAAACACCACCAATCAAAGCTCGAGCACTTCAAACTCCTCCGCTTCCAAGTCTGAATCCGTCATGGCGCCGATCTCGAGCTCCACCGTCCCGACAAACGATAAAACGACGAAACAGATGCTCAGAGAATTCTCATTGGAGATATACGATAAGGAAGAGCTTCAATTCATGTCTCGCTCGTCGGAAAGAATGAAGACAGAATAGATGGGAAGTTGTTTTCGATTCAATCTCTCTCTCTCTCTCTCTCTCACCCAGTGTAATCTATCCGCCATCGACGAACCAGAAAAGAAAGCTTGAGACGAAGAACGAATGGAAGAAGGAAAAAAGTATCGTTTATTTTTTTGGAAGTGCAGCAGAAGGAAGGGGAAGCACGAGGCAGTCACGTGGTAGACGTGAGGATCGAAAAGTAAATGCACGTGTAAGCTGGGTGTGGGGTTTTTCTTTTTATTTTTTTGGTGAAGGCGCAAAGGTGTGGGGACCACATCAGCGAGATGGGTCAACACTACGGAAAGAGAGAAATTTTCCTTTTTAATATATTAAAAAAAAAAAAGTGGGGTCAAGGTCAGTGGTGGAAACGAGTTATGCTGCTCCGTGGACCGTGCAAGCCTGGTGTGGGGACTACTTTTTAACCTCCTTGTGTCGATGCGATGGAGGTTGGGGAGGGCCCAACGGCGGTCTTTTAGGCCTGGAGCATGTGGTGGTCCCCTCTGCCCGGCCTACAACCGGGTTGTGGGTTCTGTGGTCCGAGCCAGGTGCATGGCTGAAGGATAAATGAACACGTGTTACACTGAGTTAGCGGGAGACTTAAGAGCGTTCCTTATTGCCACGTGGATCAATCAGATTGGTTTGGTAGGAGATGCTTCTCTGGAAACTTGGGGTTATTTTGGTGAGAGAAAAGAAAGAGAGTTTGTAAATTCATTGTTTAGCTGGCTGGCAATTCATTGTTTCCATCTTCTATCCATGTAAAATCTCACGAACTAAATAAAAAAAAAAACCGCTACAATTCCAATAAATGTTGTGTTCTCCAGCCTTACAAATAACAGATATTATTAACACTAAAAACAGAACCACATGAATGTGGGTTACAAAGGCCACTCCCAAGAAAACGGGAGAAAAAGATGGCCATTCTGTGTACAAATTCTCCCTTCATTTTCCTTAATAGTTACTAACAAAACTATCCAGAGCTAGAAACTAGAGGGCTCTCGTTCGTTAGGTCTTGAATACAATCAGAGGTTATTTAGATAGTGAGGTTCTCCTGAATCCCAAGAAATGAACCAACTATTTTTCCTCCTACGTCTGGAAAATTTTCATGTCCAGGAAGGGATTTTACTCTCCCTCTTCTATCAACTTCAACAGGGTACTTCAGAAGGTGTCCTCTCATCTCTGTTACCTCATCTGCAGCAAACTGTTTCCAGTTTAATTCTCCCATTGTTCTAACTCTTCTCACGCATTCCAGGCTCTCCGGTTCATTGAAACGCTCTTCCATCGTTCCTGTATGCTCCGCCCACAATGACATCCTATATCCATAGATCTGCAGGGCAAGACATCAAAATCCCACAAACGATTCAGGAATGCAATTCTATGTATGTAAAATTTTTCACACTATATGAACTGATGCATGTATAACTACTTCTTCACTTTATTGAGGATCTACACAGATATGGGGACAAAGAAAAGGAAACTACAAAGTAATGTTTAAATTATAAGCTTGACTTCCAAATCTTTTAGACTTAAATGCACATTTTCAACTCTAAATTTGATGTCTATTTAATTCTAATACTTCTTTTAAACCAAGGGGTTGAACTCTCCTCTTTCAAGCACAGGTTTAGTGAATTCATGAAAATTTTGTCTTCCTCAGGGCATTTCATGAATTTCAAATTAGACCCTTTATGTACTGACTCCATTTTGTCAAGTCTATTAGGCTTAACTAGCATTATTTGAACAATCCCACATTGGACATCTTAAAGTTAAAATTCACCTGTCCACGAGGACGTGAACGCTTCTTTGCCCATGTATAATGAGGTTGATAGGCTCCCATAGCAATCTCAGTGTCTCTAGTTCCTTCCATGGATCTCTGGTTGATGTTAGCAGATCCCAAAATCACATACTCGTCATCAACTATCATGCCTTTGGAGTGAACATATATCATAAACCTTCTGCTTTTCCGACTAAGTGCCTGCAGTCAGTTCATTTGTGATTAAATAATAATAATAATAACAGTGACTAATATACAGTGAAAATCTTGATTACTAGCTCTTTTTATGGAAACATAAAATTATGGACTGATAAAGCAAGGCTGTTTCCATCATATCTCTCCCTTATTTTCTGCAAGAACTCTACTTCGTTTTATTATTGTTGTTGTTGATTATGAAAGAATCTCCAGTAATACTCCACAATGTACAGGTATTTGGCAGGGCTTAACATAAAACCCAAATCAAAGTAAGAGAATACATATAACGACTGAAATCAACAACTGACTAAGGATATAAGTTACCTGAGGGGAGTTTTCTGCACTAGGGCTTCCAGAAGATAAAGGATCATTTCCATCCACATCCTCACGATTTCCCAGGCAGAAGAAGTTCAAATAGTCTTGAGGAGAGAATGCCTCCTCAAGACCAACCTCCATCAAGGCCTTGTAAATGACCTCATACATCATTTGCATGGTTTTTTGCTGAGCAGTGCGAGAAAAGTTCAGTTAAATCAGAAGTATACTTGTCATAGATCAGAATGTGTTGGTGTTTCAATGTTCATATTATCATGTTCCCTCATGATCTCGCTTTATTTTATCATTTAACCCAATAATATCTCCAATTCCCACCAAAGAAGAATTTAAGAACAGCAAAGTTCTAAATATTTAGGACTGTTCTGATATTTTAATTGCCATGATTTACTACTGGGAAAAAAAAAAAAAAAAAAAAAAAAAAACAAAACAAAAACTATAAAATTGCATGTTCAACTTATAGACAATCTCATTTAAGCAAGAATCACAATGCTATGTATATGAAATACTCAAGTATATTGATTATGAAATTTAAAGAAATAAGGATTGTAGGTGAATTAATTGAGATGACTTGAGCAATACTTTTATTTCTAATTGATTTAGAAATGCAGCAATTAAATTTAATAACGAAAAACATTAGAACTCAGCCTAGGCTACTAATGTATCTACCTGCCAAAATAGTATTCTCTGAGTGGCAGCAGCAGTTGGGACGCCCTCAGGCCACATGGGGATGACAATATATGCAGCAAACCTCTCATTTCCTCTGATTTTATCAGCAATCTTTAGCGCAATTTCCATTGGAATCAAATTGTTGGCACCTATGAAAAATCAGAAACGTACAAAATTAGCAATTCACGACTCCAATGTTGTAATGTCATCGTACTGCATAACATAGTCCACTCTTTTAGGAAAAACAATAAAGATAGGACTAGATAGCCTGCCGTAGATTTATAGTTTCAAAGTCTAAACATCCTTTCTAAATGGCTGTTGTCACATATTAGCAAATGCAACTTAATTTGTCATGCTGGTGCTCCCAAATGAAGGCATACACGGAGAAGGCTTTTTTCAATGTACTTTACCTATATCTTTGTTTGAATTCCAATTGAAGGATGATCCAATGAAATATTGGTTCTCTATATAAATGTAGTGTTGGGCAGCTCGAATGGCTTTCACGTATGCTGTGTGTATACTCATGTCAATCAGCACATTCTTTCCACATACGAGGTTCTGCACGGTAAAATATTAGGGAATAAGCATGTTAGATGACACAAATACAAAATAAATACATGCATATATGTGCAAATTTTATATTTATTTGATTGGAAATATAGCAATCATAACTGTCCTTTACCTTGCTTGGGGCATCTTTTGGGTCCTTCGGGAAATCTTTAACAGAACTTGAATCAATTGAACGAAAAATCTGCAGTATTACTCATCATGAAAAATTCCATAAGGAACATAGAGAATTCATTAAAAAGCTTCTATTCTCTGTAACATAACTAAACAGGTCTAAATCACAACCAGTTTCAATTGCCGAGGCTTTTACCACCTAAATAAAGGTCCACATATGCATTAAGAAGGGTTTAAAACATTACCTGCACATGCCATGATTCAGGATCATTTTCATAGTTACAGTACGCTTCAGAAATTCCAATTATGTCATGAATTCTTTCAATACGCAGCAAAGCATCATCATATGATTTCAACTTTTTTATCCCGTGAGGTTTTGAAGCTCTCCTCCATCGCTCCTCAAAATTGGTCAAAACATCATATGCTGCTGGACCTTCAATTTTGCTGTGCAGATCATGCCACGGTTCTCTTGGACAACCAACAGTACTACCCTGTTCAACTAAATAATTTTGTAACTTCATAAAATCAATTCAAATTTTAGTAACCCTAGATGCAATGATATATTGAATTTTTTTGTAACAGCCCAGGCTTGGGCTGTTACATTTTTTCTCCTAAAATTCTCTTTAGAAAGATGTTAAAGGTTCCAGTCTGGTGTTTTGTCTAACTGATTATTGATTTCATACGTTCAATCTCTAGTTATTTTCAACTAGAATAGAATTGATGATGTACCTCTCAATAAAAGCATTTTCACTTGTTGAAATGTAAATGATAACACACCCTTCAATCTATCAGACAAGATATTAGCCACGGTTTTTTAGATACTCGTAAACAAGCTAATAGGTCTAAAGTCTTGCACCTTCTCAACATTTTCTTTCATTAAAGTAAGATAAATAAAAATTTATGCAAGAGTTTTGGGTGACCTTCCCCATTAAAATCTTAGACATCATTTAAAAATGCTTCAAAACTTGTTTAGCAATTTTGTAGAAAAACCATCCTGCCTTGGAGCCTTTAACACCCCCAAAGAGATCAAGACTATCAAAATTTTATTTTCTTCCAAAGATCTCTCAAGCCATCTACTTTCTTCTCATGATAAATAGGTTGCCATCTTAAGCTATGAGTACCTCATTTCCAGAATAAAAACTTGTCTAGAAAACTCAAAATTCCCCCTTCAATATTTTTGGCTTCCGTTTTTCACACTACTCTTCCCCCAACCTGATATCAGTTCTCTATTTTCATCACAAAGCTCTTTAGTCTACTGGATGCAAGAAACCTGTAAAAAGAAGGCTAAACTTTCCTCCCCGTCTCTTAACCAAACAAGTTTGCATCTTTGTTTAACAATAATTCTTTCCTGATGTTCTTCTATAGAAATAAAATCGACATATTCCTCTCCATCAAATGTTCCCTCCTTATTTCTTCTTTTTCTTCTACTTCCTCCCCCTAAAATTTTCAGCTTATTAAGTCATAGATTTTCAAAACAACAGTGAAGGACCGCACATAAGGTTCCCTGGTCAGAAATGACTCTCACGAGCTAGATTCTCTGAGCATATCCAACCAAAACCTAGAAAAAAGATATCTATTGATCAAAGACTGAATAGCCATTTCACCCAAGTTTGGCAACGTGAAATTCCAATTGGACACAACAAAGTCTTCTATAACTTTGTTGTATTCCTTAATACTAGTTCTTCCACCATTTAGATTTTCAAAATAATACCCTGTGACTTCTACAAATATCAACAATGTAAACTCCACTTCTACAAATATTGCGTAGCTTGCCCTGCTGCTATAATATGAACTTCAAAGATTCAATACTTGAATCTTCTCAAGAGGATATTGCACCCTACATTGCAGCAATTTAAATGGTGCTTTTTTGCAAATCACACTTACGGAAAGCCATGACTATCGGTTGAGTCATTTTTTAACAATGAAATGGTATATACTCTTATACCATACAGTACAAGTTCGTTGAATTGTCTGCCAATATTGTATTTCTTGCCCAATTGAATGAGGCTTCTTTTCTCAAAGAAATGATCAATATCGGTCTTCTTCCATCAAAATAATTGTGGATAAATTGAGGCCTTTGACACAGTTTTATGAATATAATACAAGAGTATGGTTATTTCAGTCCAATGTTTCTCTTTATTTTGAGGGACAGTCTTTTATTCTTGATAGTATGTTTTTTTGTTACTCAGTTCATTCAGGCAGGCCACTTTCATTTTATGATCGCCTTTTCATTTGTTCAAGGTCTTCTCCTTACCTTTTTGGCGCTCTCATCTCATGTACTTCAATCTCTATAATGAAAGCCTTGTTTCTTCATTAAATGGGGGAAAAAACTAGATGAAGAAACTAGTATGCCCTTAAGAATAAACTTGGGTTAGCAAAAAAGGGGGAATATACTAGGGTTACTCAGATTTTTGGCATAGATCAAACTTCCCTCTTGCATCCTATTACCGCAGAACCATATTAACTATTAAAAGACAAAGTGGGACATAACAGATTACCGTGTATGTAGGATTGTGATAATCATCCTTGTGTACTGTTTGAAGTGTCCGAAATATGGGATGTGATGGATTATCATACCGCCCGTCACATAAATCGAGCCCTCCAACAAAAGCTATGATTTTTCTTCTATTATTTCCAGCATCAGCATCCACAATAACAGTTTTCTGATGGTGTGTATAGATAGTTCCAACTTCCTGATTATTGAGAAAGATGAGCAAGAATCACAAAAGGCAATATTTTGTTTAAAAAAAAAAAGATGCAATTAAACACTCCCAAAAGTTCCCAATATGGGACCTCGAAAAAAGAAAATAAAAGAAAAAGAAAATTCCCAAATATGATAATGAGTTGAAGAATAATTTTGTAATTTATCCAAAGAATGGATTCCTTTAGTCCCCTGACGTTGCGGCTCCCATATTAAAATAAAGAAGATATGAAGTAACTAACATATTCCTTTTTAAGGAACAAAATATACTAATCGCAAGCATAAATTCTAGCTTTTTTAGGAAAAACATGAGCTTAATTATCAAAAGTTAAATAACAATGGAGATGAAACACATATGCGGTCTAGTAGTTAGAAGAACGACTTTGATAGCAAGTACAAGTACAACACATGGTCACAAGATAGCTGAAACTAGAGTGCTCAAAGAAAAACTGAAATGGCCCAACATGAGCAAAGCTCAATTGGCATAAAATATGTACTCTCAACCGAAATTAATGGCTTGACCCCATCCCGCACCCCACGTATTGCAGAACTAAAAAAAAAAAAAAAAAAAAAAAAAAAAAAAAGATAAACTAAAATGCTTCAAAATGCTCAAACCTAGAGCGTCTAATAAGGTAGTATGAGAATAAAATGATGTGAAGATTGTAATGCCTGAGGATGCAAGAGGTCAAAAGTTTGACCCCCATCCCACACCCTACATATTGCAGAACTGAAAAAAAAAAAAAAAAAAGATAAACTGAAATGCTTTAAAATGCTCAAACGTAAAGCGTCTAATAAGGTAGTATGAGAATAAAATGATGTGAAGATTGTAATGCCTGAGGATGCAAGAGGTCAAAAGTTTGACCCCCATCCCACACCCTACATATTGCAGAACTGAAAAAAAAAAAAAAAAAAGATAAACTAAAATGCTTCAAATGCTCAAACCTAGAGCGTCTAATAAGGTAGTATGAGAATAAAATGATGTGAAGATTGTAATCCCAGACTATGCAAAAAAAAAAAAGGTGTGAGAATAAATTTAGAAATAGAAAATTATCAACAATTCATTACCAGACATATTATCAGTTTCTAGCACAATAGAAAATCTTGCTTTTGTTATTTAGTTTGGTCATTGAAAGAAAGGATGGATGAAAAGAGATCGTAAATCAGGGAAGTTTAACTGATAACATGGTCTTTCAAATTCTTATTCATTGCCAAGAAAAGGACTTTTCATTTGGCCGCTTCAGCAATCTAGTCATGATTTTGATACAAACTTCTTTACTGTGTAGTAGTGGTTATCTTCGTCATATTGCCATCAATAGGGTATGATTACTTAAGGATATACACTCGGGTTTCTACACCAAATACCCCAAACATTACACCTATCAATATCAAAACACCTTTTTGTATATTCCTAATTTAATCGAAATAGAAACAACTGAAAGCTGAAAATGTACAGGTTTAAGTGGCCAATTTTCTAGACATCCATGTTGAAGAACAACAAAAGTCTGTAAGGAGAAAGAAGTGATTAGTTAAGACAAAAATTTTGGCTATCTATTGTTCATTGAAGTATTCTCATTTCTTACCCAAAAAAGAAAAAGAAAGAAAGATGGAAAGAAAGACTAACCTTTTGCTTAACCCAGCTATGTCGTTTTCCAGCCATCCGAGGACAAAGTATCACTTGTACAGAGGATTGTTTGAAAAATCGGCGAGTTTCCTCATCATGGGTTTGCATGAAACCATCCTGCAACAATCAACATATGTTCTCAGAAGAGTATGATAATAAATCCTTCAAAACCAACGTATATAAAACTGAAAGACCTTGATAACAAATTGCAAACTCTTAGCCCTATGTGATTCTTCTGCTTTCCAATAAAGGTGGCTTGTATTACATGCATATTCTAAAAGTTGAGATGAAACGATGGTAGAATATGTCCATCTGGTAAAAGAGAGTTTCTGACAGATCTTTCTTCTTGATTGGTCATCAAGACTTCAAAGATCTACAACTTTTCTCCACCTCATTATTGAAGCCCGTAAACTCATAAATTAGGGAATACAAAACAATTAATAATTTTCTTTTGGGAGGTAGGTTCTAGGATACGTGGTATTTTGGCAGAATAAATCTATAGTTTAAAACATAAATTAGTTTACCATAAAAGAAGTTCAAGTTCCAAAAAGATGAAAAAAGAACTAGGAAAAGAAAGAATCAAGACTCCAACGTTTCAAATCCAAAGTAGGGATGTTTTCACTCAATTACTTAGAGCATTCTCGCCCTGTCCTATACTTAATATAAAGGAATTTTGGAAATGGCAACTATGATAAGCAGGAAATGTAAAAGAAATAGACAGCAGGGAAAGCAACTTACAGTTTTATACCCCAAAATGCTCCTAGAAGTGGGATCGTCCCAAACAAGAAGCAAAACTCTCACTCCCTCCTGGGACTTTGACCTCAGGAGATCTCCAAGGGTACACTCTGTCCCATAGCCAGTATCTCGAACTAGTTTCACTTTGTGCCACACCGACCACCCAGTTATATAAATTAACCTGCGAGCCTGACGTACAGCATCAAAGATGTCATGCCAACACTTCCCATGTACATAGTACATACCATTATCAAGCATCAAATTTGGAAGGTGTCCATCTGGAACATGGGCATCTTGGTACAGAGTGACAGCTCCACCCTTTCTGAGGGGGAAATATGTATCAGGAACCCCCTGGTAATCAGGGCCAGCTCCCACTCCATGATGATAAGTGCTAAGCCTCTCCATTGGGGTATATTGAATAGAAATAGTTAGAGCAGCTCCAGGCTTACATGGCTTCCCACCAAGTAGGATTGGGAAGGTTCCCTCAACTACAGACCCTGCATATATTTGTTCTGCAGGAATTGTTACAGTTCCTATTAGCTGCGAACCAACAACATCACTGTCTTTAACGACAAAAACTACTTCAGCAGCATAATGTGCAACGGGAACATTGAAATGCTGCCTCCATTCAGGATTTTCATTGTTGCTTATAACAAAAGTCCTCCCAATTACTGCATTTGCTACATAGATCGAAACGTAAGGATCACTAGTGATCTTATGACTCACATGTCCTTCAACTTTGTTGCTCATATTCCCAGGTAATTTTGCAAACATATCCCCCAAGGTCTTGTGAAACATGTCCATGTTTGGAAGATTTTTGGCCTCATTAACCCATATTTCTAAGTTTCCATGCAACAGCAAAACCTTCAATGATGCTTTACTGTGCAATGGAACAATCTGCAAGTCCTGACTATGTTGAGACCCACCGAATGAGCTTGAATGGGAAAATGAAGGTTGATTGGATGAAGCCATTTGATATGAATTCCCCGTATCGAAACTAGAAAATGATGAATTAGGAAAGCCATAAAATCGGTCGCGCCGATCATATCTTATAATTTGAGGTGAATGCGACAATAATGAAACTGAAGGCTGTGCAGGGGCAGAAGGTGATGCAGGAGAAGTTGGTTGATGATCAGACAAATGTACATTACCCAAAAGGTCATCCAGAGGCGGGTACGCATAAGAGACAGGCGATGAGGAATCAGTGCCATTATAGTGGCCAGAGAAGCTATTTGCTCGTGAAAGGGGTGGTGGGTATTGACTTTCTGGGGGAGGGTATGTACCAGGTTCTTCATTCTTGTAATTTGAGGTGAATCGATCATATCTTGTAATTTGAGGTGAATGCGACAATAATGAAACTGAAGGCTGCGCAGGTGCAGGAGGTGATGCAGGAGCAGTTGGTTGATGATCAGACAAATGTACATTACACAAAGGGCTATCCAAAGGCGGGTATGCAGAGGAGACAGGCGAAACAGAATCAGGGCTATCATAGTGGCCAGAGAAGCTATTTACTCGTGAAGGGGGTGGTGGGTATTGACTTTCTGAGGGAGGGTATGTACTAGATTCTTCATTCTTGTAATTTGAGGTGAATCGATCATATCTTGTAATTTGAGGTGAATGCGACAATAATGAAACTGAAGGCTGTGCAGGCGCAGGAGGTGATGCAGGAGCAGTTGGTTGATGATCAGACAAATGTACATTACACAAAGGGTCATCCAAAGGCGGGTATGCAGAAGAGCCAGGCGATACCGAATCAGTGCTATCATAGTGGCCAGAGGAGTTATTTACTCGCGAAGGGGGTGGTGGGTATTGAGTTTCTGGGGGAGGGTATGTACTAGATTCTTCATACCGATATGGGGATGTACCAGGTTGGAAATTGTTATGATATTGAATGGATGGCCTGGCACTATCATTAGTATAAGAGGCATCACCGTAAGAATATGGGGAAGGTATAGGCCCAGAGTGTGGAGGTGGATGTTGAAAATACTCTACTTGGCCAGAATGAGATGGGGGTGGGGGATATGCAAATACAGAGGCATGTGAAGGATCATACGGGTAAGGGTACGGAGGACGAGCATATGGATCTGAATTTGGATGCGTATAATGAGGAGGAGGTGGATGTTGAGGAGGAGGTGGATATTGAGGAGGCGGTGGGTATTGAGGAGGAACTGGACGAGGGTATGCATATGGATGGTGGTATGGATATGAAGGGGAAGAACCGTAATTGTCCATAACGGAGAGCTACGAGTTCGAGAAGAATACAGAGAAGTCACAATTACGGTTGGTTCGGGAAGAACAATATCATAACTAAATTAATAAGATCGACAGTATGTAGCCAAATCAAACACAAAAAAATTCTTCCAGTTGAATGGAACCCAGAAAAAAGAAATGAAAATTACAGAATAGACGAATTGGGTTACGATCTTAATCGCGGAATCAAAATTGAGAAAAGGACAGGGAGAAAGAAAACGTTCACCACAAATTCGATCCTGAAATCGCCAAGCGACAACCTGAAAGGAAAAGAAAAACAATCTGAAAAGAGAACGTTCCTCAAAGAAAAACGGCGCGCAGTGGAAAAATTACCTGTTCAAGAGATTGATTCGGTAGGAGAAATGGACTGAATCAGCTTCGTTGAAACTTGGAAACAGGAGGAAGTAAAATTCAGGAAGAATTATTCGGATCTGGGATTCCAAATAATACCATCAATTAATTTTTCCCTTCATTTTCCTCCATCTGATTCTAAAGCGCGCGCGCGAGAAATAGTTACCAGTGAAACCAAGTGAGAAATGATTTAGGTTAAAATGATTGATTTCAATTGTATTCCAACCTTCAAAACTTTCGTTTTAAGTTTTAAACTTAGAAAGTTTTGTTCCAAAAACAACCTATGACGCTTCTCTCTTAAATTTGTACAGAAATTTTTTTGGAAAAAAATTAAGGATGTGAAATTGAAAAGAGGAATAAGATAATTTGAACCATTTCTTATATAATTCAATATATTTTTTATAATTTAACTAAACATTTTATTAGTCACACCTAGCTTAAAGGAGTGATTTTGTATATTAACTATAATGCATCACCTATTCATAGTTCATTGTGCCCAGCTTCATCAAGTTGTGCTAGTTGCTTCAGGATTTCTTCGAGTTTCATCTTCGTGGTTGCATCTTCCGTCGTTATTCTACCACTTATCTTCTTTGACTTCAATCATCTTATTAGGTCTTTATTTGATGTGTTTTATTCAATTTTACTCCCAGTAATTTATTATTATTTTTTTTTTAAAAAAAAGAGAACTTTTTTGTGATGTCTCTTAGTATAGAGGCCAAAAGGAAAGAACAACCGTCATTATTTTTGGAAATAAAATAAAATTTAAGTGTTATATTTTAAAAAAATGAAGGGACTATTCACATGAAAAAAAGAATAAGTAAATCTATACATAGATATAGATATATTTATATAGAAAGGGGAACTTTGTAGAGACCGTTGGGGGAAGTGAGGCTGTTTGTTGTTTATTATGTTTTAAATTGCAAACTTATCCTTTTGACACAAAATACAAAAATACATTCGAATGTTTTGAAAATATTTTAAGGGCTCCAAGTTAGGATCAGCCATATTTTAAGTGCACCTCTTTTACTCTACATCTTCCTCTTGGTCCACATTTACTGAATCCTTAAATGTTGGTTTTTTTTAAGAGAAAAAACTTAATTTAGATGGTTGGTTACTTAAAAAAAAAAAAAGAACATCAATAATCAAAATAAGCTTACATTGATCTACTTGATGAGAAATCAATAATTAAATTGGTCCTGAGACATCAATGATTGAGATATGAGCTCAGACGAGTTAAACAATAATTGAGTATATGGTATCGATCATAACAATGCGTTATATAACATCAATGATTGAGATGAGCTTGGAGAAACTATAGTATGTGAATCTAACTATTGAGGTGAGTCATGTGATATAGATGATTGGTGTAAGCTCGTATGAACTCAATCGTTGAGATATGCTCGAAGAAACCATATGAAATTGATGTACGATAACATGTGTGTTTTATGACGATGTATGATGTACTTGATGTACTCGATGCACTTGATTACTTTATGATGACTATGATGTCTTGCATGACGTTTACCCTAATATGATGATGTTTTTCATATTAAGTATGTTGTATGATGATGAATTCCATATTGCATCAAGTCGATAAATCGACGTAGGACACAACCCGAAGAGTTTGAAAATAATATTAATATAAATATCTAACGAGCATGTGTTACCAAGCATAACAAAGAGATGAGACTAGGGTTGTGTCGGAAAAGATGTTAAGATGAGAGCTAGAGGGACTTCATACATGTTGTGTGTACATAAGCATGTGGATACTTTCCCTTGAGATGATGAGTGTGGATGGGCACAATATGATGATGAGGGTGATTATGGTGAGCATGACAACAGAGATTCTGCTGACCTCCAAACGTCGCTACAAACAACTAGCTTGACTAGAGAAGGTCCAGGGGTGTGCGAGCCACTAAGAAATTCACACTCTCATGTGTGGGTCGTGTGTAGGAAAATGCTACACATCTATAGTAGTCCGGACTAGAGGCCACTCCTAGTATGAAATGAGATAGAGATAGGTCCTTAGAGTATATTTACATGTGATTGCATTTAGCATGGCCATTATAGTAGGGGAGCATTCTTTGAAATACTCAGGCCGTGTGCCACATTATTTTTTAGGTAAAAGCAAAGCGCCCATGTAGAGATGACAGCGACATCGCGATTAGGCACTGTGGCACGTGCATATTTAAATCCCTAGTTATGTTAAAATGATAGGTTGCTTTCCATTTCATTAGTTTAAATTATTTTGTATTTATTTTTATTTCTTTAAAATTTTCAGTATTTTTTATTAAACAAGTAAAATCACGACTGTGTTTTTTTTAGAGATAGAAGATGTTTTAAAATGTTTTCTATATATTATAGATGATGTTTTCTTTCATGTTGTACCAATGATAAAGGAGAAATTTAAGATCTTTACAAAATGACTTTGGAGTGGAAAGAATGAAACATGGTTTATTTATAGAGATAATTACAAACCCATCATCTCATACTTCACTAATTAATAATTATTTTGCAAACCCACATCCTTCAACATAATCCGTGAAATCTCCAAAAATCAAACTTTTCTTAAGCTTTTTCTAACGAAATCGATACACATGACGTATCTTATAAACGTGTATGAATTTCGTTAAAATAAAATAACATTATTTTTTAAAACTTTTTATTTAGGATATATTGTTTTGTAGTATGAACAGGAGATTGTGGGGGTTGTGGGGGTTATTGTGGTAATTAATCGGTGGAGAGTGTTGTTTGGAAGAGCCAATTGGAGAAGGCCTCTAGGGTTTTATCATCGGCTCTGTAATGTTTCTGAGAAAATTCAAGCAGAGTTGGCCATCTGAAATCCGGGAAAATTCTTGGGTTTTTCTCGTCAACCAAACAGCTGGGTGGACTCACCACTTTGTCTTCATTTGGACACAGAAAAAAGGCCAAAGATTTCCTCACGCTTTCTTCATTCACCACTGCCCTGTGCAAGCAACTCTTGTACATTCCATTGGATAGCGCCTGATAAATGATCATACACATTTTATTGAACTTACGAACTTAGAAATTGAAGTCTGTGGGAATGGGTTGTACTTACCGTGAAAGTGTCGCCAATGTTGACCACGAAAGCTTGGGGATTCGGGGGAATGGAGTGCCATTGTTGGTCGACGAAAACTTGGAGGCCGTGGACATGATCTTGATGAAGGATGGTCAAGGAAGTTGGGTCGCAGTGAGGCCCAGTTCCAAGAGTTTGACCTGGGGTTTGGCATGGTGGGTAGTAGTTTAATCTCATAATCGACTCGTTTTCTTCAAAGAAGTTTCTGAAATACTCTCTTCCAACGCCTAAACTCATCCCCAAAAGCTCCATTATTGTCAGTGATACCTTGCTCATGGCGTCGCAGTATTGTTGGTACAACTTCCTGGGGGAATGAACAATAATAAACAATAATGCATCATATGATGTTGTTGTGTTGTGTTAATAATTGTTACCCGCTACTTCTCAATTCTTCTCCCAAAGCACTAGCAAAGTAATCTTCAACAAGAGTGGAGGAATGAGCATGAGCAGAGTATCTGAAGGACAGAGTTTCCTTCCATGGAAGCTTACACGAGAATCTCCCTATGAAACTGTTGGCATACCCACACAGCTCGCCCACCTTCCGCCCCGCTCGCTGCTTCTCCTCAAGCTTCATCCCAAAGAACAAGTCCATGAATTCGTGCGCCTTCGATATCAGCTCCGCATCCACGCCATGGTTAACCACGACAAAGAAACCATGCTTCCGACAAACCTATTAACACCAACGTACATTAACATTAAATAGTATGATATTGTCCACTTTGAGCATAGACCTTGCTTTCAGCTCACTAATAGATCTGTATTCTTTACTCATATGATCACGTGAACCTTCCTCCCAATAATTTTTAACCAAGTTTAGTGATAGTCTAAGAAACCTGATTGAGGAGACGACATGTGTCAGAGAGAGCAACTGGGTCGTCGGAGATTGAGCTCTTCAAGTCGATAGGAGGCACGTGAAGCTCGGGCGAGTCGAGGGTTGGCCTCTCATGGTCCGGCCAGATGAACTGAGACGGGATTTTGGAGAGAGAAGAATCATCGGAGAGAGAAGAGAAAGTTGGCATGTTGGTTGGCTTTGGTTTATGCTATTTTGGAGAAGAAGAAGAGTGGAGAATTTAGTATTAATAGAGGAAAAAGGGAAAAGCCAAAGAGGGTTTAGGCATTGGAGAAGTCGAGAAGTGGAATGGAATCTCTCATTGTTGAACAAACTGTTGCGTCATTTCTATATTTCATGTCGTGTTTGTTGGTTGCATGTAATTAATAAACCATACTGTACGAGCTAGTCTTATAGTTTGTCGCCTATTTCTTCCATTATTCTTATTCTATACGCATCATTTTCTTTATATAATTTCATGTTAAAACAAAAACAAAAACATATATCTATATATAATTTTCATTTTCAATTGTTTGTTTGTGACTCGTGATGTAGCCATCTAGATTTAAACCTTTACGTTATATTTAAAATCATCAATCAATCTACGAATTTATTAACCATGGTTATGATTCTGCCAACTTATTGCATTTTCTTCACAGTTTCATCTCAATATTCATTGTATTTTCTAAATATGGAATAAATGTGTTCATCTCAATAGGTATACCCAATTCACAAACTCACATTATCACATCTTTCAAATCATTATCTTAAGATATTACTAAAACCCATCGTGGAATTTTTATTTTTTATTTTAAAAAAAGAGTGACATTTCCAACCATGCAATTGACAAAGTTTTTATCAGAGAAGGAATAGAAAATCAATAAACCATTTACAATTTACGAAATCAGGCATGGAAGACACCCATTAGACTAGACTAGAGGGTTAATATAAAGAAGAAACAGAAAAAAAAGGTAGTTTTTTGGTGAATAAGGGTTTTTATTTTTTATTTTTTATTTTTATTATGCCAATTAATGCCCCACCCAATCAGCTAAGATTCTAATTTGAGATTTAGAGATAGGGACTTAATGTTATTTAAATTACACTATTAACATTTTTTTTCCACTTTTTTTTTTTCCTTTTTTTAAACACAAAGGTAAATTGAATAAGAGATCAGAATTAAAAAAAAACTTGTAAAAGAGAGTTTTATTTTGGCTCTTACACTTTTTAAAGGTCCATTTTTAAGTTATTGAACTTTAAAAAAGAATCACTTTTGTCCTTTCCTTTTTCGTCAAAGAATATATATTAATTAAGGTAGTAACAACAATATGAAAATGTACATGCTAAAGGTTCAAAGACTAAAATAGAAAACATTATATAATTTGACTAAAAAAAATCTAGAATGATTTTGATATGAATTAAACATGGTTGGTTTTGATCTTCTTTTTCTAACATTTGGAGAGAAAATCATAACTAAAATGTTTATCTAATAAAGCCTGAAATGTTCTATTTTTGGGCATGAGGGACAACCTTATCAAGTGGAACTATCAATAGGCACTAGTTGTCAAGGAATTACAACATAAGATTAGAGTTCCATCCCACATGCAGTGGTGGAGAATTTCGGAATCCCAATTCACCCATGAAAAGCCAAAAAGCTACCTCCTAACTTGGCTTCTTTTGGAACACCCATCCCATCTTGTATGAGGTTGAACCTAAAAAAATCCTCTCTTCACTTCTCTCCATTCCTTACCCTTTGTTGCAAGAATCACTACTCTCATCCACCTTGTTCAAAATTAATTGGAGCAACAAGCACCAAACCACAACTTTTTCTTATCAATATCATGCCAAATCCTTGTTGACCATTTCTCACCTGGTTACAAGTTCTCAATGAGCATAGAATTTATACCATTTCTCACCTGGTTACGTAAATTTTCGTCAGCCGACTCAATAAATTCCATAAATTTCACATTTCAATTGGCCAAGTAAAATCTGATACATTAACCAAATGAGGTATGTAAAATCAGTTCGGAAGAATATATCACACAAATTCTCTGCTTAATAACTAATGAGGCAATGCTTAAGATGTGACTAAAAGTTAAGATTTGTCTATCAACTAATTGCATATAAACAAAGCAATATTACATAAAAGGGGGGTTCCTTTGGAAATTAAATATGGAAAAGGTAGAGCAACTACGTAGAAAGTAGAGGCTTTAAGAACCCATTAATCAGTGGATTCTGGCACCTCCAAACAATAACAAAACTGAATGGAGTTGATTAGTCATGTCTTAAGATAAGATAATGAAGGGCTAATCACCTCATAAGTGGCGTGACGAGGTCAATTCAGGTACCTTTCACAACAAATCTACATCTTCCATTGCATTTTGTTGCTAACATGACTTGACTGATACCTTTAATGAAAAGCATATCGACTTAAAAGCAGAAATAAATCTGTCATTCAACGGGGATTTACAGACTAAACAAATGAGAAAGATTGCGATAAGCACATTCCAAAATCAACGACCAGTCCTTCACCTGTGAAGCCAACAGAATCTCAACAGACTTAAAGTTAATCAAACCAGACTTTTCCAGATGAACCAGAAGAAAATAAATCTTTACAATAAACATAGAGAGAGATAGCATTCAAATCTACAACTGAAGAAACTAATGCAACCACAATCAATCAAATGTAACCATTCATTAATCTGTAAGAACTTTTAGTTTTCTACTATTGGCAGGGGGAATCTTCTCTACAATTCTCAACTTGTATTGCAGATAACCTATGTCTCTGTTCACATTACTGTAGTTCTACTCCAAGATTAACTGCCACACTAGAGGTTAATTAATAACCTCCATGAATGAAACAAACATTAGAAGACAGAACATGGGGAGAGCAAATTGATTCAAGAAAATTGATGTAAGCTATTGTTTGTAGTAGTACAAAAGTTGATGATTTTAAGTTAACTGAAGAAACTAATGGAATTTGAGCAATATCGCTCTGTCGGTGCCAAAAAGCATCTAGTCATCCACTTGGCCCAAGAAAAGGTTATAGCGCATCAACTTCTGAATCTTTAACTTGCACCATGGATATTAAGAAGCAGATCGTCTGTTGTCCAAAATTACAGCCAATTGGCATAGACTTCCTAATCCAATTCAAACTTGGCTAACAGCAAAATATAATTAATGGATTTACATGTTAACAAGGGAATGAGTATCATATCTTGTATGGGAATGAATGGAATGAATTATAACGGGAGAAAGAGGGAAGCAAGGCATAGCAAAACATGTTAAGGAGATCCCCCTGCCCCCCAATCTAATGTGGGAACCAACCAGTGTGTTTCAACTAGATATAGCAGCATAACTCTCAAGTAGGAGAGATTGAGATCCCTCGTTTGATATCTAAGAGCGGTTTAAAACCAGACTCATTCAGTTAACTTGCATTGGCGAAGGTAAGGATGATTGTACTTGATATACTTGCTCCAATAACCACGATACTTTGTCATAGCCAATTCCAGCCAAGGCTTCATGTTTCCGTTGTAGTGTACAACTGCAGCATTCTCTATCTCAGACCGGTCGATGCCTGGATTGTAACCCAAACCAAGCACATGCCACGACTTATCAAGTGGATGTGTCAGTCCATAAAAAGTAATCAAACCCGGAGGAAGTGTTCCTAGCTTCCAGAGTAACCTTTCTTCATTCTGGCACCATAAGCAAGGGAACATTAACAACTGAATCAGTTTGATGAGGAAATATACCTGAAGTAAGATTTGATCAAACATTGAAAGAAAAACTCAATAGATGGATATTGAAACTGACCAAGTTCTGCCACTTATGATATATGCCAGTCATGTCTCGTTTTTTCCATTCCTTCAAGTCAAACATATTCATCCCGTAGGCCCATCCACATGCATTGGGATCAAATTTTCTTGCAATATGAGGATTGGAGAAGTTAAGATATTTGTCAAAACGGTGAAAGCTCTCACCACAGGTTTCAACTGCACCATTAACTTTGCCATGAAGATCCACATCCCATAATCCAGTCAAATCTTTCTGAACAACAATGTCATCATCCAAAAACAGAATCTTTTCCAACTTGGGATATACCTGAGGAAGATAGAACCTCAGATGATTAAGCATAGAAAGATACTTTGGATTTCTGTACTTAAGATTCGATGCACCAGATGAAAGAGTGGTTGGATGTTCAGCCTTGAAATAGTATTCTCTCATTGCAGCAGATTCAAGTTGACGTAATACTGGACAGTAAGACGAATTTAGCCACCTGAATTCATCAACATTTTCAACATGGATTGTGGCTTTTCCAGGAGGATTTGACAGGAACCACATGTTCATGGCACCAAAATTAAGCTTATCTGTAACAAGATGAAATACATGTTTTGAAGGATCCTGCAATAAATGCAATAGTACATAATTTGGTCAGGAACAACAGAAAGGAGAAGAAAAAAAATACTTGCAAATACATGATTTGGTAGCATTACTTCACTCTTCACATCCAAGGAACGCAAAAAGGTAAAATCATCATATGGGTTGCAGTAACCTAAGAAGCACAGATACGAACACGAGACATGGATATGTTTACACATAATTTTTTTTTAAATCTAGGACACGGACACAACAAGAATACGTTTCTTAAAATTTACATCTATTAAAATATATATCATTTTTATACAAGAAAGGAAATCCAAAGTCAATGAGTTCATGCATTTTATGCTTAAAAATTAGTTTAATGGATTTCGCCTTAAAATTTATTATTTGTCATATATGTATCTATATGGTCTAACACATCTATTACAATAATAAGTATCCAATACGTGTCCATCAAGTGTCATGAACATGCAAGCTAAACTAAAATGGTTTTGCTTCTTAGGCAGTAACAAAAACATTGAAATGAATGGAATAGATTTTTGGTTGAAATCCTTTTTTAATTCTTGAATTTTTATATGTTTTCCATTGTGGTTCCTGGATTTAAAATACTCTATTTGAGCCATTTAATAACCAAATATTCAGTTTAGTATGTAAGCTTTGCATTAGAAAAGCTAGATTCATTTCAAAATCTAACATTTGACATGCTATATGCTTATGCGACTTCAAATATTTATTTATCCAACATCATAATTGAAAAAAAAAAAAAAAAACAGAAGTGTCCAAGGTTTCAATGCAAAGTTCAAGACAAAAACTTGTTTGAAA